TCTTGCTTTTCTTGTATTTTGTATCCATGGCATGTTTATCTCTCTTTCGTGTAAAATATTATGCAGTTAAAAGAATGTGCTTGTCAATGAGTGCACTTATGTATCCAAGTGTATTTTAAAGTGTATTTAATATTGTAAAGCTGTGAAATGATAACCACACATTTGCAGATTTTTTTTTCTTTCCCACAAAGTACAGATAATTTTGAGTTCAGCTTTGTTTTTCAGTAAGGTTATGTTCTACCTCAGAGCTGTAAAAAAGCATTTTGTTTCTCTTATGTTTCTGGACGTTTTAATGGCGAGAAAGAATGTACTGACGACTGAAAAAGGTAAATGACCAAATAAACCAGTTTCTGCTGTGAGGTTGTGCTTCAGAATATTTGGTTAAAAAGGAAAATCAGAAACTTGAATGATTATTGCCACATTATTGATGTATTACAGCAGTTATCTCCAGTTATCTCAGTCTAATTCAACCAGTCAATCAAATTTATTTGTACAGCACATTTCAGCAACAAGACAGTTGATTGTAATTCACACAAATATTTTGATTTATACAATCAGTATTCTCTTTTCATATTACATCCTTTAGAACTATATTGGCTTTTATTGTTTCTGTTGCAAAATTACAAATGAACTGGCTGAATAAATGCTTATTTAATATAGACTGCCAACGTTTGAAAGAGATGATATGATCCTTAGTTAGTTAGTTAGTTAGTTAGTTAGTTAGTTAGTTAGTTAGTTCATATATAACAAAGTCAAGCTTCATTTCACCTTGTGCATTATCCAGAGACCTTTATTTTAATTAAAGTAGACCTTGACCTTAATGTGCAGTTAGATTTTAATTGCCATTTTTGTTTCAGTGGCATTCGGCAAATATTGAGTTACTTGGGGGAAAAAATCAGATTTAAATGTAAATTATATCATTTTAATCTATTCAGTTGACTGAACACAAAGCTCAACCACAGTACAGAACAAAGATGTGCCTGTTTCATTGCGTTTGTGCTTTACGGCCATCTTTAGGTATTCATAAATAATATATATAATATACAAATTATATGCACAAATGAGACAATTACAGTTTCTGTCACAAAATTGTGTGACTGACCTTAAGTTGCCTTTTAATATTGTATTGTGTTTAAATTCCTTCAAAGTTCTGTTAGTTTCACTCATCAGACAGTGTACCTACTGATAGAAGTCAAACTGTGCACCATTATGGAAAATTGATGGTCTTTAGTGTATAATGATAATGTAGCATTCATTGTATTTATTGTAGTACAAAATCAATTGTAGATATTGTTAAAAGAAAATGCCTTCCATGTGAGGTCAGGCTGCTGTGCACATATTCATATGTTGCTTTTTTGTGAGTAGAAAGACATGGCACGAGTAAAACAAGCTCATCATTTCCAAATTAGGCATTGCTTTTTTCCTGCAGCTTTAAAAGGACACACACTCCTGCAGTGAGGACTGGAATTTCATGTCCCCCCTGCTGAAGCAGCTCACTTGGCTTCCTCACATCTGCAGAGACAGAATTCAGCCTGTGCTAATTAGCATTATTGTAGATCAGGCAAATATTTTAGATTCAAACTACTGTAGAGCATGACACGGATGTGTTACAAAACAGTATAAATTCAAGCCTCACAGTAAAGTGTGTTCTCCAAGGACTGAGACAAACTGTCTCTAAAACTGCCTTGAAGTTGCAGGTGGATTCTCTTCTGTTTGCTGCTTCTTTCTGTTGTTGGGCGAGTTCTGCTAGTGAAGCTGTCTCAGTGCCCACACATGAAGGATTTACTGCATTCGGCTTTCTAACAGGTACGACTGGGGGCGTGTTTAGTGAATTTGTCTGTTGCAGGAGAGAGACCAGGGAAAAGTTTTTAGTCGATATTTGTTCCTGCGATACCAAACCTCAAGACATAAATGCTGTATGTTGGCTTTTAGATTAATTTTTTTGCTCTCCTTATGATATTGGTTGTTGCTGTGCTGTCGGAAAAAGGAGATGACTAACTAGCATGAGGGCCAAAACAGAAGTCCTTAGAGAGTGCTGTTTCTCTGTGAGGTGGTAGCAGAGCCTGGAGCTTTGGGAGGGATGGTGAGAAAGCAAAGAGAAAATTAATCAATAGCCTCAGGTGTTGTGAGGAAAATTAGACTCATATGATGTCCACTTATATGATGGGAGTTTAGGACACAGAGTGGATTTCTGAAGAGATTTTAAAAGTTTTTATAATTAAAGGAAAGGAATAAAGAGGATAAAACGCAAAGAAGACAAATAACGTTTGGGGTTTGATAGGAAACCAAAACAAACCGTACTAAAATACATTCCTTGATAGCTAAGTAGTAAGGAATGCTGAACCTTTTGCCATCAGAACTGCTTGAATTTTCTGTGGTATGCATTAAAAAACTATCCCCAGATCAGAAAATTAGATTTTGCTAAGTGGGTAATAAATTAGGAGCATGTTCCCCACAACATTACACCACCACCTGATAGAACAAGTTCATAATAAAGAAGTGCAGATAGATCCTTTACATGGTCTGAAAAAATAAAAATGAAATTCTAAACAAGACTGTTAGTCCCCAGCCATTTGCAGCCACAGTTCAATGCTCAACATGTATTGTTAAGCTTAAAAGAGCTAGTACTATTTGGTAATACTCTACCTAGCTTAATTAATAAACTGTAGAGTGGTTATGCTGATACATGTTTCCATCTTAAAATTGAAAATGTAGGGGAAAGGAGCAACCAAGCAATGTCTATGTTTTATGAAGTTTTTTATTAAGTAATTGTCTTTATATAATTATATGGTAATTTCACATTTTCCCAGTCCACTATAGAAAATGTCCAGGCAATAATTGTAACTTTAAGCCTGTAAAATAATAAAATAGCACATTATGTTTTATTATATGGAAATATATTTATTCATCAACAAAACAAAAACTAATACTCTGCTATTAGTATTATACTGTTATTGGTATTGTTGCAACCTTAAAAAAAAATAAAAAGAAAAAGAAATTATATATTACACAATTACATTCTTATTACTCTGTTGTTCCAATCCTCTATATTGTCAGAAAACTCATGCACTTTTCCAAGGCTGAGGGAACAAAAATCCAAATCATGAAAATACCAATACATGAGGAGTAATGGGTTGAGTTGGTGTAATTTATCACTGTTGTTAAAGTCAAATTTGCCAAAAGTGAAGCGATTAGACCTCCCAGAAGGTTAGAGGTAATTCTAGAAAATCCATACCTACGTCACAGATGTCCTTGGCTGCATCTCCACTGGCTGTTTGGTTGCCCTGGAAACTCTACTGTTATTTATCTTGAAAATTGCTTTGGGGCAAAAATATTGCAGGATTTTGTCAACAGTTCTTAGCGCAGCTTGTCTTTCCAGTGTGGAAAGAAACAATAAAGATGTTTTGTCAGGGCAGCATTACAGCAATTTAGTAAGGAGGAGGTAGAATAGTGTTCATGTATTTTTGTTAAATTCCTCTTTCATGATATGAATCATTTTATGTTTAAATGCAGTGGATTTAAAGTGGCCAAGCCTCAATTCAGCAGTAATTATCTGACTTTATTAGACAAAAAAAAAAATCAATAATAACCTTCCAGTGACTTGTTGATCGGGTATTCCAAAGAAAACAACAAATTTGCTGGTTTCACTCTTAGTCTAACTCCAATTACAATTGTCAGTTGTGTCATTATGTTTTTTTCCTCACTTTGTTTCATTATTTCCTTATGTTGACTCAAATTTTATCAGCAGAGCTCAGAGGAAGAGGTGAAATATATTGTGTCAAAAGGCAGGAGGTCAACAGGTTTCTCAGTGATCCAGTCTAGAGTGGCACAAACAAACAGGTTGCAGGATGAAGTCATGCTGAGATGTGAAAAGAAACAATAAAAACTGCAGCCTGGTTCTGCTTTGTAAAATTGGGACACGTATGAAGATAGTTTTATTGGAGCTTACCTTTTTCATGGTTATCAAGAGTTAAGCAGCTAATATAACTAAGTGCTTGACATAAATATACATATAGGCTATATACATTCATATTGCATGGGGACAAGTGGTTAAAACATAAAGATGACACTATTACACTTGTCTAATTTGCACTATACATCCCAAAAGGCAAAATCATCTGAAGAGATGTTCTGGGTAAATATTTATCTATTCCTTACACACATGGTGAAATGATTCAAAACAATTTTGGAGTAGAAAGCTATTCTTTTTTATTTCCCAATAGGGAAAGCCTATTTTTTGCTTACAGTCTATTAGAACACTGATCCACCTGAATGTCATCTATACGTAACGGGGCATGTTTCTTGAAACTGTTTCCGTTAATAGTTCACTGTGAGGTGTTAATTCAGACAAGCACATGGACCATCACAGACATGGACCATCACAGATGAAACTGGAGATTAAGAGCGCCATCTGCAGTCTGTAGTGAACCACTGCAGATTTGCTCAGCTTCACAGCACAAATGCTGCTGTGTAAACGTGACACTATGTGGCAGCAACAGGTCAACAGATGGAGTCCCTTAGAAAACTACAAAATTGATCTCAATTGTGAAAGCAAACCGAGGAAATACAATTTGACATATTCAAACTGTGTTGTTATATATGCAACAATGTTGTTACAATGCAGTCATTTTATATGAAAAATTCTGACAGTACAGCATAATTGCCTAATACAGAACATTTTGCACAATTTATAATTATGCAGTTATGACAGTACGTCAATCACAGATCACTGGTAAGAACATTGACTATAATCACTCCATTGTTGCTTGTGTATCACTAAGTCCTCACTCCATTATCCCCATGTTATTATAAAGGCCTATTACATTTTCAAAATACTTAAAAAAATATATATAAAAATCTTGAAAATGTAAAATTTTCAGATTTTGTTGTACAAAATCTGAACATTTTGTATAAGTCATGTTTTGCCATTAATTGCTGGCTTGTGCCCCATTTAAAGGTGAAGACTGACAAATCACACAGTGCTGAAAATAGTGGTTTATTGCATGAATTTATTATTCTGGTACCTTAAAATGGCCACCATGCTGATTAGTGAACAAAACAAAACAAGAAAAAAAAAAAACAGGTCCAAGACTGTAAATGTGAAGGCTGAGCTGCCTACTCCCAACAGCTTAAATTCTACATATTTACATAAATAGGTTGAAAAAAAGTGATTCACATGAAAAATATGTCAACAAAGGAGAAAACTGTGTCAAGTTGGGCTGCAGACATCATTAGCATAGCAATAAAGGCACTCTGTAATTCAGTGTATACATTACATTGATTTAATGGGAGAAGAGCTCATACAGAACAGATTCTTTGTTTCAAAGGGATGATAACTCAAACAGAAGATGTTGAAACCACATAAATTAACAAGCTGGTAATTGCTAGACACTAATAAACAACAAATATATTAAATTGATTTAAGTTAGTAATGTAAAAAGCAGCATCTTTAAAAACAAAGAAAAAATATAACATGCCGTGTTCCAATAAAACACATAGTCAGCATTCATGGCCAGTGTTTTTGCTTGCTATAAGAATCCACATCCTTACAATGGCTCATTTCTCACTATGGATTCCCGCACAATGATAAGAAATAAACAAACAAATGTGGTGGCCTTGAATCCCCATTTTGTCTTTGCGAACTTAGCTGACATCAAATCATTAGTATTAGTTTTTGTGCCATTTCAGTGCAGAAAATATCCTTAGCATTCTCTTTCCATGGTCAAGATGGTAGGCTACATAAAATGACAGACATTTTACTCATCGAGTAGAACCAAAACGGTAACTCTGCAAGCTTCATCAAGTATTTCTTCAGTCCATTACTGATATTTATAAGAAAATCTCCATCACAAAAACAGGTTAGGTCTTCAGTGTGTTTTCTACTACGAAAAAGGAACAATTGGGATATAAAGCGCTGATGTAAAATGACGTTTAAATGGGTCGTTCCGAAGGATATCTTTTTGTTTCTTTGGTGCAAAATGTATTTATCACATATAGATCAAAATACTCCTGCCAGGCACACAGAGAAGGCTTCCAGTTAGGAATCAACCTGCATTCATTGATTTACAGACTGCAGAGTTATTCAAGGTTTAAAGTTGCAAAAGAAGAAATGCTGCAACAACATACAGTGTGTATGATGGAGTTCATTATTTAAGAAATCTTGGAAAAGAGACATAATGACAATTACTGACTGCAAGTCAAATGCAAAAAAATAAAAGAAGGAAAACAACAAAAGTGTCAGAGATTTTCTTCTTAAAACCTTCCAGTAAAACAGCTGTTTTTTTAGTTTTACAGATGGCATTAACAGTAAAATGGTTAAGCATAAAATATCATTCAATAGTAACTACATATTCAAAGATTCAGAGATTCAAATCATATTTAAAAGAATCTCTTCTAGTTAAAAGACTGATGGTAGTTTTTGCTGGCAAGAGTCACACAACCAATTATAATGTTTGGAGGGTAATTACGCTTCCACACATAGGGTGCCATGTTAGTTTAGAGAGCTTTTGTTTCTTACAGAAATAATTTGAAAATATTTTGTCTCTACTGTGGTTGTGTTTGATATAAAAATGTATTTAATGATCTGGAGGAATGTGACCAAATGGGAAAAATTAGAAGAAATATGCCAAGGGGAAAATACTTTTTGTGATAATTTTGCATAGATTCACATTTGGATTCCAATTTTTCTTTTTATTTTATTTTTTTTAGTTTAGAAATTATTGCATCACATTTCTTTTGTTACTTTGAGCTGCTATTGGACAAAAAAAAAAAAAAAAATGATGTTAGCTACATTGCCAGTCAATGTACACCAAACCAGGAACACCAGAAATATTTTACACATCTGCGTCAGTTCTGATATTCTTGTAATAAATAGCTTCATTTCATATTAAATTACTCTCAGTGTTCGTTAAATATCTTAAATGACATTAAACCTTCCAAACTGTGCCAAAAGATTCCACCTGTAAGATTAAGAAAACCTCAACTGAGAGAACGTATTCAGAACATGAGGATAAACAAGCAGCCTATCAAAATAAAGTTCTGATAACATATAAAAGCACTTAGAAGATCACAAACATTCAAGACAAGAAAAATGTCTCCTTTGAAAAGGATTTTCTATCACCTTTAACCCGAGAACCATTTTAATAAAACTCAACCATTTCATTTTAAGTAGATGAAACACAATAATAATAATTTTTAAAAAAGCGATTACCCTTTTAACACAAACTGTACATATCTGGCATCTGGACATTTAAAAAATTGGAAGTGCTGCTACTTTAGGAAAGGCTTCCTCTCATAAATCCTTATCAAAAATATGCAGCTTCAGGAGTCCTTTTGTTCTTTATCTCTCTAGAAAACTTTACAATGCTACATCGAACTCCAAAAAATGTGGATGAGGTCTTCTCTTCAGCACTTCTTATCCATACCTGCTGTCACATTTTCCTCTGATCTCTGTTTCTCACTTCCTTTTCACCTTCAGCTTCTGCTCTCCACTTCAACTTTACCTTTTTTTCCCTTCGGCGTTCACATCAGTCAACCTTTTCAACTTTCCCGATGATCTTTTCCTTGAAGATGGGCAAGACGGCGTCATCCTCGCGTATCTCTTCGAACACCACCCCACAGTCAAACTCATCGCTCACCTTCTTGAAATAATATCTAAAGAAAACAAAACAAAATAAATTTAAAAAAAAAATATTAATGAATGTATTTTCCACAAAAGGAAATGTTGAGGTCCCAATTGAAAGGAATCAGATTGCATGAACATAGACAAGGTTACATAAACCTCTCCTCAACTGCAGCAGTTTTGAAAATGACTGAATTTCATTAGTTTGTCTCTCATTAAAACATGCTTTATACAAAAAACGCCTTCTGTTGACAAACTTTTGAAATAATTGGCTATTTGAAATCAATAAAAGATGCTGTTTTACACAGAGAAGCATCTGACATTGTTTAAATCCCACCTGTAGTTTCCTTTCTTTGTTAGAAGTTCTTTGAACTGGCCCAATGTGACAACCCTCCCTCTGACAGACGTCCTGTACGGTATCAGCTCTTCGCAAAAGTAGTAGGCCACAGTAATATTCTCACAGGATTGCTTTTTAGTGGCTTTATGTCTGAAAATGTAAAACAAAGAAAACATAAACAGAATTTGAGACAAAAAACAGATTAATTAAATTACTGTTACAGTGGCAGTTGCCAAAAATGATAAGAAGCTAATATAACATTTATATTGTTCCATCATGCTAAATGTAAAGTCTGTTATTGATTTTAGGCAGAGAAATCGTATTTGAAGAGGTTTATTAGTGAATCTGATGATGAATCTAATGAAGCATATAGCCAACATGTTGGTGTTTGTACGTCGCACCACAGCGACTCCATCTGTCTTCTGTTCATTCACAGATGGCAACATGCAAGTGATGCCAACTAATCAGTATCACCATTACAACTTAACATCTATCAGGGATCAGGACTCTATACTGACACAATAAGACAGTGAGGTGATTTTTACCTCCCTGAAGAGCATGTATGTCTTTTTCCTTTGTAAAAACCTGAACGGAGAGCTGCTCATTTGAAAACAATGATGTTAAATCATTGTTTAAATTCAGGTGAATTACACCTTTTATCTTTCTATTCTCTTGCTTATGGTTATGTTGTTAAAACCTGAGAGGTTTTCTGTTCTTGCAGCGCTGACATGAAGGCTTCACCCTCTGGATCTGCCAAGTACTCTGCATTTCATTTTAGTCTAACACTTTCCCCACCATCTATTTAGTATCCATCCTAGATGGGCATCAAACAAAAACATGTTTTTCAGAAAACATCACAAACTGACTCGGTATGGATCTGTAATACTCTAGCCTCTTTGATTTTGTTCAAACATAAACAATCATTTCCTCTGTAAACCATTTTGTTCTTTGAGGCTCAAAGTCTGGTCAAATACGTAAAAAAGTCTCTTCTGTTCTGTTGTTTTACATGCATAGATTGTTTGAGTGCCTGAATGTGCATAATTATCCACTAAACACCTGAAACTGTCAAAACAAGTGATAAACAGGGTAAAGGTTTGGAGCAGTGTATTGGACCACAAGAAGAGTTCTGGTATCATTACTGGAGCGAACCATAGGCATACTCTGGCTCGGAGAGCTCGCTGTCTGAAACGGCGGGCACCACGTTGAGCAGAGGGACCGGTGCAGGCCTGACTGCTGCGCGACCCCTTTGGATCACCTCCATCACATACCTGGAGGACCGAACAACCCCGATTTAGACACATAGCAGCCAAAAGAAGCAAACAAAAGCAAAATTGTCTGGACAAAGCCAACAGTTCTTTCTGTTTTCTGTTCTGAGACTATACTGACTAACCACCCTGATAAATGTGGGAATAAGATATTTTTTTTCCATCTTGTACCTCTGCTTGGGTTGCAGAGATCCAGTCTTCAGTTTTTCCTCTTCAAGCCGTCGACAAACTTCCTCCAGTTGGATGAGGGGGCTGGGAGCCGGGTTCGGAGGCATAGTAGGGTCCTGGATGAAAGGGTGAAACGGCTGCACGTTGCTGCATGAATGCATGGACCCTGATCTGTCTGAGGAGCCGAGGCGAGATCCCTCATGGTTCGCAGTCCTCTTGGACCCACTGACACTCCTGGATGTGCAGAATATGAGCGGTTAAAGCATGCATGCTAAATTTAAATTGAATATTTTGAGAAGAAAAAAAAGCTTTCGTACTATGTGAGACATTTGTCACTTTTAAACCAATATTGTGCGATTTCTGTCTTAAAGTAAGATATCACTGACCCATGTGGGCTTCTTTTTTGTTGAGCCATTTCTTTCTGTCCCTCCATCAGCCACAACAGGATCTTTTGTTTTTTCTCCATTTCCTCCGCAGGCCATGGCACATCATAAGCTCTCGCCTCTTCGCCTCTCTTGAATGCCCTTTTACACTGCGGGCCAGTTTTGCTGCTGCATGACAGAAATATGGAACTGAGTAGAAAACAAGGATTCTGTAGATGTGCGTAAGGAATAAAGCGATTAAAGTTGCACCACACCTGTAGCCTATGTGGTCCACAGGGTTAGATGTCATGCCATCTGCATAGCTTCGAGATTTTGAGCCGTAATAGCTTGTCTCCAGGTTCCAGGCGGGGTTGCCGTGTGTACGCATGGCCCCTTCAGGGTCCACTGCAGTCATGTGACTGTGAGGCACGTGTTTGTGGTGGTACGCATGACTCGTCTCACCTTTCAAACCGTGTCTGGCTGAATGTTTCCCCTGACCTGACTGTGCCACCCCTCTCACCCCTGAGAAACCATCTGGAGAGCGCGACTTGGGGGAGTGGCGCCCGATTCCTGGAGACTCGCAGATGGGCGTCTTCATGACCCGCTGGACGTGGTCGTCCAAGATACTCTCTGGGTTTTCCTCGTGAGCATCTTGGACAAAAGGACTGCTGTATGTGATGTCAGCATAGCGGGGGTTGTAATTCAGTGAATAAGCACTAGGTGGGAATCTTTGACTGGGTAATGATGAGGGGGAGGAAACTTCATCTCCTTCTTCCTCCTTTAATTAAAAAAAAATAACATGAAGAAATTGGTCAAAACAAAAAAAAATCTACAAACAAATATAAATGTTTCTGATGTTCCACTTAACCCAATTGTACATGTTGTTCCTATTTCAACCTGTAGGTGGCAGGTTTTGCACATACCACTAATAAATGTATTATTTTTCCCTCTGACTGCAGATGTGAGGAGACAAACCATGGGCACCATCTATCAGTATGCACACAGCACTTCTGTGCTCCCTCTATGTCATGACAACTGCAGCCGACTCAGCTTCAGCTCTGACTGACTGAGACAAAACTGTGCTCTGACAGAATCTGCTCAGGGGGGATTTACTGGGTGGGGTGCTACAGGCATTCATAATAGGGGCAGAGAAGATGGTGAAAAAGGAAAAGAGGATGTGCATAAATTTAAAAATAAAAATCGAACTAAATAAAACAGGAGATGGTGAGAAATTCTGAGACGTTTGGTAATGGTCCAGTTTCATTCTGAAAGTTAAAAGGACATCTGATTACTATGTTGAATATTTAGATTTGATAAGGTTATGTATATGGAAAAAATATTCCCTACAATAATTTAAATTCCAGGAATGTCATAATGTTGCTAGAACAAAAGGTAAACTCCATAGATGTTTTATTGTTGATATACGGCCAACTGATAGGTGTTTTGTCAGTTTTGGAAATTGCTAAGATACAGATACAATAAGAACAACAGTTTAAAAAAGATTACAACAACTGGACTTGTTGCAAATGGAACTAAACACTTGGCTAATTTTATGTGGACATAAAATTGCCACTGCACATGGACATAAAAAACCCCACTGCATTATGAAAAACCCCAAAATAAACACGGACCATGGTCCGGATCGGGGTCCGTGTTTATTTTGATACCATGTGCAGTGAGGAAGATGGCAAGGAAGGTTAAAAAATATCCAAAATTTTCACTGGTTCTACAGTAAAGAGTGGCATATTGGCTCACTAACATAAACATGTCAAATTTGTCAAACTGCAGTTTTATCACTTAGAGAAACTAAGAATGAATTTCCACATCTCCGTTGTTTGGTCGGTGGAGGATCCCTACTATGAGATCCTGTCTTGAAATAACCAGGACATTTAAGAGAAAATGGCAACCTCTATAACTGGGTTGTTAAAAAGTCTCTGAGCGGGATAATGAACCTTAAGATTTATCAATATCCACAAAAATATACCTACATCATTTTTTTTTCTATATTTATCAGTCATTGAAACTAAACTGGGTAAGCTGAAGAGAAGACCCAAAACTTCTGAATAGCTAGGAAAGATGTTGAAAAGAGCAATTCTAGAACTCTTCCATTATGCAAGCTGTTGTCAACAGTTGGGATTATTCTATTATTTTAAAATGACTTTAAAAAAATATATTTCCCTTTATAGGAAGTTATGTAATAAATCTCCATCCAATAAAAAATTGAAGCAAGGATCTAGATACTTTCTTATGTAACAGCACATTGCTTAAGAGTTATTTTAATTGCCAAAGAACGAGAACCAAAGCTTCTTTTTTCCTACTTTAGGTAGCCACAATATTCATCTTTAGCTCCTAGTTTCAATTAAACAAACCCACAGCTTTTCCTTTCATAGGCCTCCACATAAATGATCCACCTAGAGAATTAATACTTGGCAGAGCATGTAGAGAGAAATATCGGTTGTGGTAACGGGAACCTTTTCATCGGCGTTCCAAATGGCATCAAACGGGCCTGGCTCACTTTTCCAGGCTTACAAGTGGCCGAGTGTGCAGGTGCTCCGTCCGATTCATCCAGGAAGCCAGATTGCTGACAGGCCAAGGACAGAATCCTCCACATGATTCATATTGCTTTTTACTCTTCACTCCAATGGCCGGCCTCGTTTATTTCATTAAGGCCAGACGGATTTACGTCTCCTTTGTTTGTGAACATTAGAAGACTGTTGGCTGCACACACGCACGCGCACACACACACACACACACACACACACACCCATGCACACCTCTCTGGCTGGCCCAGAAACAGGCTTCACTCGCCCTCTAATCATTTTCTTTAACCTGATTTTCTACCCACCGTCTATAGTGGACTTATCAAATTATTTACGTCCTAAAATAAAGTAAGAAAAGTGCAAAAATATAATATTTGATATCGATATGTTCAGTATTATGTGCAAATCTTTTGTCCCTCTTGACTGCGTCAACATAGAAATTTTTCTGTCTGTTCTCTGTTTACATTCAAAATAGATTTCATTGTATTATTTTGCTAATACTGTATTAGTTAGAATCCTTTTAGGTCTGTATTCAGCTATTTTTATGATTCAAAAAAATCTTTAAATATTCAAATATCCAACAAAATGAACAGAATTTTAATTATTTGATTGTGAATTAGAACTACACAATATATGTGGAATATTCCAATCATAACAGACGTTTTGGATTAAATATTTGGTAGAATATAACATTTCATTTACTATGCATTTATGTTCTTCATATCTGTAGTATATTTAAGATGAACTGAGTGTGTCATTCTTTATTACTTTAGTGGAAGATAGAGCGGTGGAGACATTGTGCAATGACAAAGAAAGAAAAAATTTCTGAAAATGAGAGTCAGTCAGTCACTAATGCTATTGCAATTTTCAGCGGCTTTATTAAAATTAAATATGTTCCTGAAATTGTGCAGCTCTAGAGAGGAAGGTCACTGCAGTGAGTCTGCTTATGGTTTCAGAAAAAGAAAGTGAGATGATCCTACCAGTCGGACTCTTTTCAGCCTCTCCTCCAGTTTCTCCTCGGCCTCCCTCTCCCTCAGGACGCCCTCCAGCCTCTTGATCAGCTCTGCAGCGAACCTCTCCGGCTCCACGTGTATGTCCTTTGGAATCCGGTTTGTGCGCTGGAGGAAGAAATGTCAGGCCGTAAGCACACACTGAGGAATGTCTTCCCACCACCTTGTGTGCCTGTTAAGAACAGTTTTAGTACGGTTGACCCTATACATCCCGTTAGAGGTCAAGCTGAAGAAATGAAGCAGGAAACAACGAAAGGTGCAGAACTGAAAGTGTTTCTTCCAAGGGAGACTGTAAATTGAAATATGAATGTATATACAATCCGTTTTGAATATTACTAAAACGGATTAGATGTCTCTACTTTGCTTTTCTGTTCTTGTTGTACAAATGATATCTTTTTTGTCACAGTTTACATTTCAAAAGTGGGCAAATATCAAAAAAATTGAATTTCGAATATTAAATGAAGTGTTTTGAGCAAAGTATTAGTTTAAGACTCTGTGCATTTATTCAGTCAGATTAATGCAGCAGTTTTTCACTTAGATTTTTTTTAAACAAGCTGGGAAAAGTTTGGAAACTACCTTTATTAGCCTCATATGTCAAAACAAACATGACACATTAATGGGTTATTTAGGTTTTATATGTACCGTAATCTCATCAATAAGTAGATTTCCTCTTTGGCTAGCTGTTAACCTGGGTTCATAGACCATCTTTCATTACAAAAGAGCATTGAAAATAAGATATTTGTTTAATCAAGGTGATGTGAGCATCATACAGCCCACTGCATAGTAAATTCACACTAAGGACACTAGGGTGCCATGTGTGGTTTTTTAATTGGACTCTTTACTCCCAGGCCTAATTAGGGCCAGGGCTTTCCTACCAAGCGACAGCATAAAGCTGCAGAGAGAGGCATCAGGCTGTCACAGGGGAGGTTTCATGTCTGCTAGGCTTCGGCGCGCACAGCTTAGGAAGGCATCAAGCTGCATTTAGACAGCCTTCTCTTTCACCATCAGCTATTCTTATACTCCATCACAGGCGCTGTAACACAGCTGAACTAAAATATGCACATTTCCAATGGCAGAGCAGAGGAGAAATGAGCAGAGACAGACAGTTACAAAGAGAGAGGTGTAGAGGCGGAGAGCGAGGTGGAAGGGAAATATCCCATGAATAACTCACTGGAAAATGAGGTAGTGGCACTCGCCCATTTGCTTTGGCACTCTCATGCATCTCCCGGCGAGGGTGTTTGCGGTATCGGTATGGTGGAGCACCATTTCTGGAATGAACAACAAAGATATTTTCATAAATCATCCTCATGAATAAACAACAGAGGCAGCTTTGAAGCTGAACGCTTCACACAGCATTTTCCTTCTGAAACAAACACCCAAAAGTGCCTTTGTTATCCTGTGCAGCATGAGAGGGATTATTGCAGCATTATGGCCGTTCGTTCTGCATCACAAGTGGTCAGGCAGATCACAGCAACATGTAAAACATGTATGAGTTTGTAGAAACTGTCAGTGAGGTTTTCACAGTCTCCTGTGCTAAATGCTTAGGACCAATTAGCTGATCGCAGCTTTTAATCCAATCCGCTTCAAACATTTTTGGGGGGAGACCAGCTGTGCACACTTTGAAGGCTCCAGTTCAATTCCACAGAGTCACACTGCACCTAAAGCATTTTTCAAATCTTCATTTTAGCAACCTGGTGACTCATAATCAGACACTGAAATCAAAGATTTTTTAATTGATGCCACATCTCCAGCTTGCAAGTGAAAGTTATGGAAAAGAAACATTTAGCTAATACTTTATATTAGACAAGTTGGCCCAATTGTCCAGCCAAATAAACATTTAACTGTATAAATTTCGCTACATATTTTGAGTTCAGTCCAGGAAAATATTATTGTTAAAACTGCTGAGTCAGACAGTGTTTAAGCCTGCCATGATATAACAAATGGCAAAACTGTGTTTTCTGTGTGGTGAAAAGATACATACACACTGCAGTCTGTGAGAGAAAGTGTCTCTGCGTCACTGGATATGCTCTGCTGCTCGCTGTCATTGGCACTGGGGGCTGGGGCCAGAACATGACCAATGTTGACGTAGTACGGGTTGATGGAGTCTCGACACTGTCCATGCCTGCAAATGGAAATGAGAAAAAAAATAAAACTACAAAAAGCTAAATAAATCTCAATATTTTTTAAAATGTGTTTAGTTAATTTCTTGGCCAAGTTTGGTAGCTTAGTCTTCTTAATGTAGGCTTTCTTGCAAGCTTGAATTTCTACTAATTTATAAAATGTATTCATTAAATGGTCTTCTTAACATAATTTTAGTTGTTTTGTTGACTTTAAACAAGATTGTTTTTTAAAAAAATTTATTGTTTTAACCAGAATAGAAACCCACACGACTAAAAAATATAGTCAACAGTAAAAGGTTGTGTGTGAAGAATCTCATCTATATATTTGTCAGCCTCTTAAAACATTGTGAAACTTTGCTCAAATTTCCTGTCCATTGTGGTTTGCAGGTTGTGCATCCTTTTTTTATTGTAACAGTCTCTGCACAGCAATTAATTGAGTTGAGTTTTTTACTTTTCTCTTTCATTTTATTTCTTTTCGATTTTAGGCCTTTTGCTAAACTTGAGCCAAACTTCAGCCTTTGATTATCTCTTGGCTGTTATTTTTTCTATTCAAGAAAGATATGCAGATAGTAAGACCAAACCTTAACCTCAAATCCTTATCAATAAAATCTTCCGAATTGTGTTATCATTATGTAATATTTAACAAAAGTTCAATAAAATCTCAAATGTGAAGGAGAGCTTTTCAAATTGGTACACATCAACAAAAAGGTTGACACTTTTTTGACTCCAATCATCATCACCAACTCAGCTGAACAGACTTCTTAAAGGGCTGTGCGCACATGAATTATAAATGTTGGGCATTATTATTCCTTATTCAAATAGGAATTCCCCAAAGCATTTACCCCAAACCTTCTCCCTGCTTGGAATGCAGAAGCACCAAGAGTTCAAATGAAACCTTCATGACAAACAGATTTCCATTATCGTCAACATTTAACAGAATAATTTACATAACTGGGATGGTGAAGGTGCATGACAACTAAATAATGCAGCTGTAATTACAGCAAATGTTGCAATCTTTATATGTAGAAAAAATAATAACATTGTTAAAAAAATCAAGAAAACTCACCATTGAACTTGCTAAATAAGTATTTAGTAAATAATTCTAATAATTTCCATACATACAAGTAAAAACCAGGACAGGCTTCAAATTTTGTCAGGTGTCAAATACATAGTGATCCCAACAATGAAATCAAGCTGATACGTCTTGGCACAAAATGGCTGCTTGAAATATTATAGGGTTGAATCTGATACCTCAGATCAGGTGAGGTGTAAGGAGGTAGGTGAGATTATCTTTTGAAACATACTATAGTTTCATGGTGGCAGATTGGTTACAGAAACAGTTCTAAGCTAACTTCTGCTATTTCAAAAGTAATTTTCTACAACTGCTCAGGTATCCAACAGCTGCATGTTAACAAAGTAGCTTCCCAACTGGCTTTAGAACAGCTGCACATTAAGAAGGTCTATTTCAAACCTTATTATCAAACAGAGTAGGTTGTCTGTTTCACTAACTACTCAGAGAGGCCTGTGTAGAATAAATTCATGGTCCGTATGCGGCCGCTAGATTTGTTGTTACTCTCTGTGAATGTCCATGTGACTGCACTGACTTTGTGCTGGCATTAACAGTAACAATTCAAGTGAGTGTGTGGCACCAAACACACAGATTCAGAAAAAGACAAATAATATAATAAGTAGAAGCAGCAGCAACAACAATGCTTATTTTTTAGAAAGACAGTGAGAAGTGACCTAATCTACTCTGCTAGTGAGGATAATTTATCTTTTAGGAACAAGGATACAAAACCTACATTATTCTGTTAGGAATCACTTTCTTCTTTTTTCTTTGCCCTCCTCCTCGTAAGCCATAGTATAAACCAAAGCATTGTCTCTTCCTTAGAGGGAGCAGTGCAATATCTTTGAGTGAAACCTAGTTATTGAATAAGGGTGTGTACCTGTTCAGAAGGTCCAAATAGTTTATGCTCAGATACACGGAGAGATATGTAAAGGATTGGAACGGTGTGACAATTTCTAAAAAGGCAAATATATTATTCTCCTAAGCTAGAGAAAAGTGTAGCAGTCTGAATTCAGTTGACTGAACTATAGGAACTAAGGCTAAGAAACCTATATCTTAACAATTGTATATCTGTCACATGCCCATTAGCAAGCTTCAATTTCCCTCCATTTCAGTTAATTAAAACAATTTCACCCTTAAACAATAATCTGAGATTCACATGAACGTTCAGACAATGTAGAAATTAATAATAATTTAAATATTTAAACATTTTTAATATTTAAACATTTAAAATTGTTTATCCCAACTGTTCCAGTGCGCTCTTGGAGTTGTTTATCTTTTCAGCAAATGAACTTGATTACAGACAAAAAAAATCTGCCACCATTCAATAAGTGCTGACAGAAAACAAAGAACCTGCATTCCTCATATATAAATCTATCTACAAAGTTTGACCTCGTTTTTTGAATTTTGTCTGAAATACATTTTTGAAATATTTGAAAACTGTACAGAAATATGGATGTGCAGTGAAACAACTAGTCAGCACAGGCTTTGTTGTTATTTTTTTATCTACAAACGCTGTCAGTGAGACCATCGTGAGTATAAAGATTTCCTTTTTCGTAATGTAAAACCCATTCAAAGCATTTTGTAAAAGTCTGAATATGTTAGGGTACAGTTACGTAAGTTCAGTACCCCTTCTAAAGACAACATCAAAGACGAAACATAGAGTTTGCATTTAAAATTACTTCAGTAGAATTAATTACTGCAGTCCTTTCAGCAGATAAGAAATTGAACACAACTCAAACAGAAACACATTTGTCTGAAACAAGTAGACATGGAATTATTATCCATGTCTGAATCACAAAAGGCATGTAGGCACATCTTTGAAATGCACAACCACTAGAATCCGAACAAATTTCAACCGTTTTTATTTAATATAAACTCCTCCCAAACGTTAACACAAATGGCATTCTCTTTGAAGTCATTTCATGTCTTAACACTGATCTGAGAGACTTTTTAATGTCTTCTGTGGCCACTCTCTAAAGGGGATCTGACACAACTGCTGTAAAATTTACGTTCACAAAAAAACCCAACGGGTAGTGCTAAGAGGCTATTTAAAAATGAAGCATGTCTTTTTGTAATTTGAGCCAAATGTTTGATTGCTGAAATAGTTGTGACAATCATCACAAAAACTACTTCACTCACACATTAATTCCTGCTGTTTGTTGTTTGCCATTCAGATCTTTACATGCATATGACTGAAATCTCTGTAATAGCTCTACAGATTTCTTCTTCTTTTAAGTCGCTTTCATTTCTGCATTTCAGACTATTTTAAAAACTGATTTCCATAAAATTGCCCCGGGTTAGGATTTCAAAATTCATTCTTGCATAAATAAGCATTTGTAATTTGCAGATATCCGCACTAAAAAGTATATGGTTGCAGTGGGGAATGCGATGACATTCAGCAGGACCAGTTTAGCTCAAAATTGTGACTTAAACATGCAGCCATGTGGCCCAGGGAATATCTAATTTCCGTTCATTTATTGTATTTCAACAGAGCAAATTGTAATTGGGATTTGTTCTGAGTCTGCTCCTGAGTGCAGCACTGTGCACCATGTTGCTGTCACAGAGAGAGTTTTATCTGGAAGGTATCGTCTGTCTGTCAGCTGATGTGAGTTCCTGTCTCTCATCACAGCACTGGAGCTGTGGGAACGTCTCTGTAGTGTGCGACTGTGACGCAACTTAAATTATTTTATTGCAGAGTCGGATTGTAGAGAAATGGATAATAGCTGCCATCAAATTAGGATCCTCCCTTGTAACAGCTGGGCTTTTTTACTTCACCACAGGATGCAATTGTTTTCAATGACTAGGTTTAAATTGTAATTTTTTTTTCTCTCATGGTTCTGATGGTAGCATCATCCAACTTCTCTCTAGCAATAAGACGTTCTCTTACAGAGACATATTTCTGTTTGCAATAAATTTTAACTGATTTTGAAGAAATTTATTTTTTCATGCAAAACAACTAGTGTCTCATCACAGTACAAACAGAAAATAACTTGGATGCTTGTCCATGTTGGGGCAAGCCTTCAGTAGTCTTCACTGCAATGCCCTCATAATACGTCAAAACATACAGAGTGCATTTAGCATTGCAGACCATTAGGATGGGCCTCTGTCCAATTTTAATTACCAGAAGATACTCATTTACATAAATAAATAAATAATGGAGTATATATTACTACATTCAGCCATGACAGGCTTGAGGTGTTGCATTATTCCTTCATGTCCTTCACGGGATTAAAAGGTATTCTACTTTAAATTATGAACAACAGTGGCATGCGCAACAAAGCAATCGATAAGGGCTCAAAAAGATGCATCTTTCATTGAATCTTCACCTGGGCAATAAATTAAAAGCAAATTATTCAAAACATTTCCGTTATAGGTTAAAAAGACACCAGGAATAGAAACATAAGTTGTCACAGAAGAAACAGCAAAGTGAACACATGTTCTTCATTCAAGCTAAGAACAGCAATGAAAAGAGCAATGTCAACATAAGTGTAAGATTATTAAGAGATTACAAAAACATTGGAGGAGTTTGAGCTATCTAAACAATTCACACTTTTAGGTGATCCTTTAGTTCCATGAGCTACAACTATTCTTTACAAATTGTGATCTCTCATGACAAATTTGGGATTGAGAAACGCTTGTGAAGCTTATCAAAGCAAACATGATTAAGGAAGCAGCAGGAAACCACAAAGTGCAGAGGGAACATATGATCCTCAAGAGTTTATTTGATCTAAGAAATCTCAGCAGAATCTGATGTAGTCAGTTAATAAGTTAAAAATTTTGCTTGATAACTTTGCTTGTAGTTCAACCATAAAATAGATGTGAACAAAGGGCATGAAGATCACAACACAGAGCTTAGTGCTCAGTGTGTGCATTGCTCAAGTTAACGCTGCGAGTTGGTTGGCAGGTGTTCTGCATCTATTACATGTGTACCTGCTCCAACACTCCACAGTCAAAAGTCTGAATTACCTCCTCAGTTTGCAAGCAAGATATCCAGAGTCTAATGACCTCATTGTTTGACTTTGTGTGGAGAAGCAGATATCTAAAAGTTGCAGGACACTGGGCCTTGAGACCTGGATTTGAAGACTGCTGGCACAAGAAAACCTATTTTTACGTAGGAGGAACAAAATACCTCAATTTCAAAATGTTACAATCAATTCTAATCAAATATCTACTTGCTTTGACAATGAGTTTGTCTCGTGTACTTTGATATGAAGAATCTTATCTTGAAGAATGAAGGAAGTTGTTCTTTAGTTGTTGCATCGCTTTTGGATGGAGTCGTTCAATGGAAGCTAACAATAATATTTTATATTATTTATTTGGCAGTATTTTGAGTTTACAGTGAAGAAAAAAAGTAAAATCACAAAAGATTCAAACTATGTCTGAAATCTGTGAGAACACTGCAACTGGCTGCCGTCACTTTTTAGTGAATCTGTATTCCATTTGATAATCTCAAGCTTAAAATAAAATACTTTGATCAAATCTGAACTCGATAGTTCCCTACTGAAAACCTGAAAAGAAGTATTTCCACATTAGAACATTAGAAGGCATGCAAACCAGAATACAGAGGCTAGACAAGCCAGAGTTACATAATATTCAGTTGATTTCAGACAGTTTAAAAGACAATCTGTCATTTGTGGGTCAACAGAAAAAAATATTTCCTGTGAACTCGATATTATCTCTTGCGCTAAATTTGCTGCTATTCTCACAAATGGTTAAAACAGCATATATATGTAATAGAGAGAAAGAGGAAGACAGAGAATGCTCTGCAGGTTTTTTGTAGATCTGCAGATTAGGTCTATAAAAAAAGACTAGATTTATAAAAATCAAATTGTCTTGAGAAAAATAGACAATTTACTGTGAAATATAAAAAAACTTTTCTTTTAAAAAAAATTCGCCTCTTGCTGAAAGGAAAAATAGAAAAATAGGGGTCAAGGATTATCCAAAATACGAATGTAAATAAAATCAGCTTGAATGCCTTCCCATCAATACCTAGCCAGGTCTTGGAAAAAAAGAAAAAAAGAAAACATAATTCCCAGAGTCCCCACACGCACAAAGAAAAATAATGATTTCATGTTTCAAACTCTAAACAGCAGCTATAGTAACCTATTCAACTTCCGACATATCCTCCCCACTTGAGGTGGAGATGCTCCACTTCACACAACATCAACTCTGCTGTCTCTTGCGCTACACTCACATTGTGTTTTCATCTCCAACTTCATGCTGGTTTGGGGTTTCAGCTTTATTTCTAATTCAGCAGTTTGGAGGGGAAACAGTGCACAGTTTGAGCTGAGGCAAAGCTTTTTTCTTAAGATGCCTGGGAGGATTTACCTGTTCTCCTGGCTGTCCTGGAATTTTGCACTGCTGGCAGCTTGCTGGGGTACCGTCTCCATCAACAGCTTCTGAGTGAGCTGGCTGCTTGGGGTGAGGTCACGCTCGGTCTCCTCTGGCCCCTCATATTCATTTAGAGTTGGTAAATACCCTGACAGTCCCTTTTCATTCCCAGAAACAGAGCTCCGGTCACTGCACAGCTTGGGGCTCTCTCCTCCTGTCCGTGTGTATTCCAAATATATGTCAGATTTAAGGAACAAAGGATAAGTGTTTTCCTCCATCCTGCTCTGTATCTCAGTCTGAGCCTGGTCAAACATTGCAGGGTCAATGTGAAGCCTCATCAAACAATCTCTGATGAAAGACTTGGTAGCTGGTTTGATTTGTCTGGAGACAATTCCATTGTTGTCCTGGATGTACTTTTTATAGATGGCTTTCGCCAGTTTTACTTTCTTCTCCTCGTTCCCCTCGCTGGCTTCCAGTTTGCGAAAGCCACTGCATGCAAACCAGAAGTCCAGCATGTCTGCGCAGTCCTCTTGCCTGAGAAATTTCCCGAACAGAAGGATGCCATCCTGGTCATCCAGGAGAGAATGAAGGGACTCTGCCCATTTTAAGTAGGGTGGTGTTGGAGAAGCACTGCCCTCTGGCTCGAAGCCCAGATCCAGGTCTGACCGCCTGGGCGTGGCCACAGACGCCTCACATTTGGCGCCCTCGCTCTTGGAGAAGGAGGTGAGGTTGCCGTGCTGGCGACCATCATCACACACCAGCTCTCCTTCCTCCCCGGGAACTGGAGGTCTGGGAGCATCCTCAGTGAAGCTGCCTCCCAGGTCTGAGATGAAGCCCCTTTGGTCGCTGATGCTCATAGTCCCAGCATCCATGAACCCTGCGGTGCCAACGCTGCACAACTGTTGGATCCAGTATTCTAGTTATGCTTCTCTGAAAAAGCTCCTGCAAGGAGGGAAAATATATAATGAGAGGCAGCTCACATGACGACGAAGGCAGACCATTGTTTGCACACTCGCACAAAGGTTCATTCTGAGACTAATGCTAAATCAGCAATTCATAAATGAAATTATAAGACATGCATGTACAGCATTCTGAGCATAATGTATGAAAAGACTTGGAAAGCAATATGAATCTCAATTAGTTTAATAATGTGCTGGGCAAATAATTCACACTGTCCCAAGGTAGCAATAATATTTACAACCATTTTCCTTTCTGTCAGCAAAAAAAAAAAGTTCTCACCACTTGTTTTGTCTGTTCTGCTCTACCCAAATTTCAGCCAAAAAGAAATTTGAAGAAAAACTGTCTTCAACTTTCATTGGCTTGCACCTCATTAGCAGAAGCAAATGAGGCCTGTGATGACACATTTTTCCTCCGCAGGCCTCAGATAACATTTGCAGAGTCATGTCCAGATTTTGGCCAGTCATCTTCTAACTTGAACCTTGTGACGAATAAAATCTTTCCATGTTGTACAAGTCTATTTCTCCTCAGCAAAGAAAATGAAAGGGAAAATGTAGAGAAGCTTTCTAAGTGAACTACAAGTTTTGTATACTGAAAACTTGAAAAACTTTTTCAAGAGTTGTTAATTAATGTTAAGCACTATATTGTGAAGAAGTATTTGGAGCTATAAAGATTTTCAGACAAATAAAAGCCTATGAGCACCAAACCAGACCAAGACAAAACCTTCTTTTTTGAGAAAGATGTGGACTTGGTGGCAGGTCATTTTTCTGCTGCATAATCCAAGTGCTATTGAGCTCAAAGTGACAAACTGAAGGCTGGAAATCCTTTTTCAGGATTTTCTAAAGTATCATAATTCATGTTTCGCTACAGCAAAAGAATTTCACTCTGAAGCAGAAAATAGCCCAAGATTTTCCCACAGCAACTGGTAATTGCTGTGGGCAGAATTTTCTGAAATGCTGTATTGGTTTTACAAAACATGTAAAGACATACACCTTTTAAAAAAAGTTTGACTTTTGTCTGATCAGTCCACAAAATATTTTCCTGAAAGTCTTGGGGGATATCATTGTCTCTTTTGTGAGGTCTTTAGTTTTGACCTGGGAACTCTTGGAGTAGTTTTGGTAAGTCAGTCACTCCTGGGAATAAATCTGTTCGTACTATAGGTTTACGGAAAACTAAGTAAAATTTAACTCAGTTTTTCATAAAAAAAGGTGGTAAATGCTTAAATTAGCAGGATGAATGCTTTGTCCAGTAGGGCCAGGTTGGTTTGGATAGCATTTCCCTTAAGAAATGAAACCATAATTTGAAAACGCCATCTGGTATTTACCCCGATTATGTTTGTCTGATTTAAAATTTGTGTCAGGATCTGAAACATTTAGGTATGATTAAGCTATAAAAACACCTAACAGAGGACTAGAAAAACCAATAAGAAACTCAAGTCCAAATACTTCTGGCTTCTTATGTGGTTCAATAGATAAGATGGATTTTTTTTACTCAGCAGCATGAATATAACTGATTTATATGCACAGGACATATCGCCACTTCCCACACCTTTCCAAACCTAATTTAAAACATGATTAAAACATCATCTAAGTTCTCTAAGGGGTTTATATTTTGAGCTAAATAATTAAACACCCTTAGTTTCTTTTACAGTTAGAAAAAGTGAGGAAGACTTTTGATAGGTTACTGTATCGATCCTCATTCCATGTTCTAATTTTAATTAATTCCTTTGCTAATGGCAGAATCATCTGCAGAGCGCCGCACTCAAAATTATTTTAGCAAACACATTTTTCAAGGGCATATTTTGCTCCTCATGTATTCATAGAGCATTTCTTGGCTGCAGCTTGAGCAGCTTATGACTAAGCTGTCGAGATATGGCTTCTGTATTTAATTTAAGGTTTAATGTAGCCACAGCTGACTGGATAAATTCACATATCCGTGCCAAAGCCAGTATTTCTTTTTTGACAGTTTGCTGGCAGATCCAAATCCTAGTAAAAAAAGAAGAAAAAAAAAAAAAACTTGACATTTAACCTTGTCTTCATCTTACATTTTCTATGTAAATTACTTCCCTATTTATAGCTCGAGGCACTTGTTGACTCAAATTGGACTAAAAATGATGATTATTTGGATTTCATCAAAAGGCTGGCACCCACACTCTCACTGTGACTACATGAGAAGTATTTATGTCTTGGTTCCCAGTACCCTTCCCTTTAGGGCACGCCCACTCTCTGTCTAATTCAATACATACACAAATCATTTATCCTGATTGAACAACAGACAAAACCGGCTGTTCTGTAATCAAATGCTGCCCAGTGCTGAAGAGTGAGCAGCACGTGCACCGTGCGTGCGGCCAGATGTGCAGGAATAGCCAATCCCAGTGTGCGGGGGATGACAGCTGGAGGTAAATGGGGACGGATCCATCACCTCTGATCGCACCTCTGATCGCACCCCTCTACCTGTGAAGCCCGAGCATTGGGGTTACAGTGGCTGCGATTGCACATGCATGTGTGCATTTACACTGAATCAAGCCTAAGGCGATCGCGGGGAAATGTCATTTTGCTCTGCAACTGTATCTTGAGGTGAGCCTCTCATCACGTTCACGTCTTGGCCTCTCCTGAATGAGCAGGAACAGCAGCGGAGAGTGGGGGAGGGGAGCCAGAAACAAACTCCATACATACACACAGAGAGAGAGAGAACGAGAGAGAGAGGGAGAGAGAGACCCAGGCCTTTCAGCAGCCCACCGACAAGTGCAACAACTTTGTCACACTATTAATATCTGCGCCGTGGCCGCCAAACTCAACGCGCCACAAGCCGCCCGCAACTGTTCTCCCCCGCACCGCGGGTATCCCACACCGATTTCTGAACAGGTTTATATCGCAAGCTGCAAAGCGATGGGTCTATTTCCACCGAGTACCGCAATTTCTAATTTCTAAGCGGAGGTCAGAGAGAAGAGACAAAAGTGACAGATACTTAACCGGTGGAGATCCTCCGGCCGCTTACGTGCGCATCGGGCAGCTGGAGCGACACCAGTGTCTGCCCGCGGTGTCATGGTTAGGACGCGCAGGACTTTACCAACAACAAAGAGGACAGTCCGCTCTCCTCTCCGTGGCTGTCTCTCATGTCTGCGCGGAGCTGAGGCTGCACAGCAGAGCATGCACAGCGCCTCGCCTGTTCACTGCGCAAACTGCCTCTGAAATGTTCTGCTTCATGTGGCACACTTATTTCCCCCCCTTTTATTCTCTCTCTCTCTGGCTTTTAGTGTTAAAACTAGCATTTCTACATAAATAGAGAACACAATCAAAAGTGCAAGAAAATCTATTATAAAAAAATTTTCAAATATTATTGAAATACCATTTACAAATGAATGTGTTGTGAATCAATCCACAAGTATTAAAATGCTACTTTTTTGTCCTTTAAATACAAAAAGAACCCACAGAGCTTAGTTTTAGTTCAAACTCAAATATTCATAAAATGCAACCAAAATACACAGTCTTTGTCAGAGTTCCCTCATAACTTTCTAGCTCTGAAGATTGTCATCTGTAATGGTACCTGCAGGTATGTTGTCAAAAGTCCTAAAAAGGTTGTATGCCAGAATAAATTTGCATAAAAAGACTTGTTGACAATCTCAAGCCCATGTATGTTGGCAAAAGGTCAGGATGGCTGGAATGTTTTTAACCTGAACAGTTTGTGAACCTAGGCTATGAAACCTATGAAAGGTTATGACCATTTTACACAGAAATAGCTTAATAAAAAAAGAGACATTCAGTGAATATAAACTTTTTTGTGATCAGAATAAATTAATCTCAGGATGAGGGGATCATCCTTTGGGGGGTTTTAGTGATAACTGGCATCAAAAATGGTCTGTATTGTAATGCAGTTTGAATTAGCTAAATTATCTAGTTTGCTTTGAATCTGACTTAGCTCATGTTGACTTTATGATTATATTTTTTCAGACATTTAAATTTGGATATGATTGAATTAAATTTGGATCAATTTTGATTCTATCACAGCCATTTGCCCTGTTAAGTGACTTTTGCTGTTAAAACTTGTGCTACAAATTAATATTAAATTGAATCTATTCTTGAAATTTCTTTCTGTGAAAATAATAAGAAGTGGCAGTATTCAATCTATATTTTATCTAAAATCTAATTGTCGTTTGTGTAACATGTTGAAACATGACATTAATAACATGTAATGTGAATTCTTGCCATTTTACTGTTGCAAATGAAGCGCTAACATAAAAATCTGTTTGGGATTTTTTGGGGAGGTTTTTTTGTTGGCCAAACAGGTTTGACAGCAGTTTGTTTCAGAAGCATTCAAGGTGTTCATTCAAGTCACAACCTGCATCAGATAACTTCACCGATTAGGTCTTTCAAAGGTGCTTTGATCCCTTCAATCAGCTTCCAGTGGTGGCAATCTTATTTCCTGTTATGTGCTGCAATCAAACTCCCTTTGTCAAGCTTTTCTCAACAAGGAAATGTAAATCTAGAGATTCAAAAAGACTACTCTCATAGACAATGTGCTTTCATTTCAATGTGCAATGTGTGCTGGATCAATAATAGAGAAGGTTGCGGAAAAAAATAATCATAGGTTTTCTAAATGACCATCTGAAATGCAAACAATATAAAATTAAAGTTTGACAAACATCAAAGCAAAGCAGAGTTGTTTCTTTTTCCAGCTCACATTTTCCACATAAAATGAAATTTTCTAAAAACATTTTCTATACATGTTGTGTTTAGTCTTATAAACAACACTAGAGTAAAATTTTAATCCACATTATGCAATCTGAAATAGATATTTGCACACTTGAAAGAGAAAGAATCACACAATACTACAATAACTGGTTTACATGAGAACCAGCTTTAGAGGAAGGCACAATTTGAACGACTGTTTCAGTTCAACAGTACGTTTTAAAATATTGCCGGGCCTCTTAGATGCACTTGATCCTGTCATTACTACGATGACTTTATAATACAAACACCAGAAAAGCAAATGCAGGATTAGAAGGCTGTTTCTGTTCTTTGATATCAGGCAGGCACCAAGCAGTCAAATCGTTTTACTGAATCCAACATGAAAGGCTGATGAAACATCACAAAAACATGAAAATGTCTCAGATCACATTATTCGGTGGAATGACTTAAAAAGAGCAGCGTGAACAGGAGTCCACATTTCACACTCCATCTCATCACATCAACTGCAATGCCTGCTCCCACCTGGAAACATGCTACAGTGTGAGCTGTGCACAGGATTTTAAATATTTATACGAGCAATGGGAATCATGAAAAGTATTCTATTGTTACAGCTTCCTCCAGGCTAAATACAAACACCACATTTTCACCTATTGCAACAGTTTAGTACCAGCCATCTGACTAGAGTCAATCTGTGTAGCACCGAGTCAACTTCAAAGAACTTTATCTCAAAAGAAACAAAAGATAAATCTTTTACTTGTATGACTCAGTCTGGTTCTTTGTGTGATTGCAGTTTGATTAAATGTTCCCACGATGATAATGGAAAAAATTATCATTTGAGTGTAAATGTTTTACCTTGAGTTTGATTGTCATCTTCATGCATCCTCCAGGTCTGAATCCTATCATTTTCAATTCCATTGTAATCTTATTTAATGCATTATCCTGCAATAATAAGAACGCCAGTCTAATTTCCCACAAAAGGAACGAACTGACTGGACTAGAACGTTGCTGTGTGAGTCTATCTGTGCAGTCCAATTCTTCCTGAAAGATAAAAAACAAAAATTCAGTTTATACAAGCCAATGTTAAATATTTCCACAGTACTTTGAGCATAGCTATTACCTCTTACTGTTTCACACAAAAAAGGTGATAAAGTAGGTTGCTGCCCCCTGCTGATATAAAGCTTCACTAACAGAGTTTCCTATACATATATATGGATTAAATTCTTCACTGCATTTAGAGTAGATGTAAGTACAAAAAAAGTCATTTTCTGAGGATATCTGTTGAACTTCACAGTTGTACAAATCCCAAGTTCTTTTATGGCTGTCATTTTTTTTTTTTACCATGCAACGAAAAATGTTCAGTTTATTATATTTGGCTACACTTTCAATGCCAATTATGACATCTAATGAAAGCTACTAAACATATTACATTTGATTGGACCACACCTGTAAGTATACATATCCATGACTTGTGTAACTTAACTCAATAATGCACACTTCTCATAATTATTTAGAAATATTTCAACAAGAAAACCAAGACCCAGGATATGTTGAAGAGCTCCCCTAAGTGTAATTAGCACCTAATTCACAGATTATTCCATCTTTTTGTTTTTTTTTTTTTTCTTTTTGCTTGTTTGTACATTTAATTCAAATAACCACAAATCACTAACTTCCTCCAGCAAATGACTGAGAACATGCGAACGATGCCAAATGGCCCCCGCTGAGACGGAAGGATGTAGAGGAAGAATGAAAGTGCTTGCAGCTGTCGGAAATGAGGATTATAAAGTCATCTATTGGGAAGTGCGGAAATTGATTGGGATAAAATTGCACATCTAAAAGAGCAAAAGAAAGATTCAACCGAAATAAAAACTGCAAACAGAATACATGCAAATGTTAACGGGGAGCCGACACACAGAAAAAGTAAAAGCATCACAAAACTCAAGAGGTCAAGTACAAAAAATACATCTGTATAAGCCACTTTTACTTCCTTGACCACAAGCACCGACTCTACAGAACTTGTTAAAAACAGTCATTACTTAAAATGGATCACTGATCAAATATCCTCAAATTAAAGACTGGACTTTCCTATAACCTCTGAGTTAGAATATGCATTTGCAGACAAAGATTACTTAAAAAAAGTCCATCACATGTCAAAAGCGATATTGAATTTCAAGCAAGATATATAGGAATATAACATTCCTGCCCTTTTTTATTTATGGAGGGTTGAGTTCAAATCTTTACCTTCACAGCACGTGTTATCTGTTTTGTTATTATTCATGCAATTAGACACATAATTACATAAAGCAGCATAGATGCAATAGTCAAAACTTTCCTTTACAGTACATAACAACACTATTTTAAATAATTTTAGGACCAACATTGAGAAAAATGTTTCTATGTTCTGATGAACTGCAAAGAATAATTTTGGATTATGAAAATAAACAAGCAAAAACTAAATGAACACAAGAAAACAGACACACAAACGAAAATAAAAACTCAAGGATTCCATTCGCTCTGCTCCTTCTTTGTGCAGTTTTGGTAATTTTCAGCATAAAGCAGCAGTCATTTAACTACATTTTGTGCCAATCATGCATGAATTTGTTCCTGCCCTGGGGATGTTTTGCAGCTGATTTGAAAACCAATTAGAGTAGTTTTTAACCACCTCAGTTCTAAAACCCATGATGATATGCTTGATTATGTGTGCAGCTGCCAAATCATTATTTTTTACATTTTAACAAATTATGTCTCAGAGAGTAAATATGGACAAAAAACTTGTGAAAACATAAACATTATACTTTGAATTGGGTGATACATTAATTGTTACACCTTTATTTAAACACCACACATCTTCAAGGTGGGATTCTAGTGCTATATTCAGAATAAGTGCAGATCTGGGGCTGTTATTATTCTTGCAGGACAAGAATAATCTGCAACCATGAAGTTAATTCTTTTGAATGCTTCATCCATCATTCGTACAAATATTATATCACTCACTTGCTGATTATCAAACAATTTATGTCTCCCTCGATAGTACAACAAAAAGGTTTCCTTCCAAAATTTATTCTAATAAAGTGTTCCCATGCTATCAAATATCAAACCATAGTGAAGGACTACCCGAAGACAACTTCATGTCTCCCAGTTCAGTCCATTCAGGGCTCTTTTGTTCCACCTGTCACTGTGGATTTAGATTTTCTTATAGGTTTTGGGTGAATTGAGCTTATCTCAGCTGAAGACTCATTGATGAACAAAAGCCCATACAAACAGTTTAAGAAATGCTCTTTTACTTAGCTTTCACAGCAGAGCTCTTATTTCTCTTAACTAGCTTTCTTTAAAATCAGTAAATGAAATTATGTCTTCTGCAAAGCACTTTTAACTGAAAATTGCAAAAGGTACAAGGTTCAACTGCAAACACTAAAAGTAGCTGGACCAGTTACCAAAATGATTGAGACATTAAGGTTTTATAAAACTATGTCGTGCTTTTTGGACCACTTCAGGATAGTTGGAGATTCTGAAAATGACCCAAATATTAATATCAATAGACTTTCAGAAAATGTATTCTGGAGTCCCGTCGCTGTCCTTTGTCCAGGCTGAATAGATCATGCCTAACAAGTCTCGGAGTGTGTTAGACACAGAGGATTTAGCAATTTGAAGACTTTGAGTTTGTTCATGCTGAATAGCATGCTTGTTCTGGTGTACCTGCATTCACAAAAGGGGAAAATGCTTAATTAAAAGGCCTACATTTCTTATGGTGCTATATGGTGGTTTATGCTAAGATGTACGACAAATGATGAATTGCTTGAAATCTGCCTAGTTTATGATAAATTCAAATCTTCACATAGAATTATTAGTTGTCTGTTCACAAGATATATATTCATTGGACAAATTAAATGAAGCAATTTGTTACCCCAAGAGGAAGAATGCAACCAAACAGCACATCACTGACATAAAAAAGCGTTGCCAGACACAATAGACCGATGCACTAAACAATGGAACGTTACGGTTTTCATCCCTGCAAAAGCAGTCATCATACCTGCTGATGTACCACACTGTGTTCTTCATGGTTCTGATGACAAGAACCAAAGACAACTCCCACCACTTCTTTACTGATCGGATACAGTCCTTCGTAGTCTGCAGTGAAGACTGACGCCATCTTTAATCACAACAGAGTCCATCTGTCGATGGTTGTTCTCTTTCTATCCTCTCTGTCTCTGTTCCAGTCTCTCTGTTCCAGCCCTCCGTTTGTTGTGGGGGGTTCTAATTTTCCATCCAACATCAAACCAGCATATCGACGGGCTCATGGGCCGCCCAGCAGGGGGGCGGCTTGAACATGCTGGACTGGCTGTTGTCCTTTTCCAAGCAGCAGATTAAGTGAACACATTTATTTTTCACAGTATGTCTTGGGTATCCCACAAAAAAAAAATAAAAATGAATAAATATCAACTTTCTTGGCCCTTGACTTCAACAAGTCTGGGTTTAAAAAGACACCAAGGATTTTCCCTGTTTTTCCAGTTTGTATATTTTCCTGAGATGTGACAGATTAAATTTTAAAGTCTTTTTAATGGAAAACTTTGTCCCTCATCCATCACAATCATCTGAACTACTTTTCAAATGTTCAAGTCTACTGTATGGAAAAGAGTCAACTTAAATAAAACTCAAATGGTGCTCTTTTTAAGAAAAAAAATTCAAACAAACAAAAATTCAGACAAGTTGAAGCATTTACATTCTATTCTTTTTCTTAGTTCTTAATGCAAACTAAAATGATTATAGTATTTATTTCCATCAACAAAATCCATTAAGTCATCAATAACAGGAGCCAGTTGCCTTCGTCTTGCTCCCATGGTCCATGTTTGTCACTGCAATCTTTCTCTTGTTCATAAAGAGTTCAGCAAGACCATTGCTGAGGGACGGGCATCTTTACTTTAGATTACAGCTCAAGTTGTAGAACCCTTTTGGAGAAAACGAGAACCAGATGCTTGCCAGCACAAAGACGTTGTAGCTATGGTAACTGAATCAACAAGCATGAGGACAACACCGAATTTCTAAGCAAAAAAGAGAGAATTGTCAGTCAGGCAGAGCTGACACAAATTAGGCTAAATCTGAAGAATACAGAAACTGAATACATCATTAAATTCCAGATTTTAAAAGCTTTATTTATCTACTCAGTGAAGTTGTAAAATCAGCCCTGTTAAATGGATTAACCCCAAAAACAGGAGCGAGATGGGCATCAAGAAAAAATTTGGAAAGAGGGGGAGAAATTATATTCTTTTTGTATTGCTGCTTCATCAGCTGCTCACATTTCAGTTAGATTTCACACTTACACATTGAGTTGTGACCGGGGTCATAGGCAGAATACTGCTCCTTACAATGGCCAGTTTTCTCTGCAAGCTGCACCAGCATAGACCATGAGTGCCAGGAGACGGCCATGCCTAATAGAACTGTGCTACATTTATGCATATTTTATTTCTCGCTCTCAAATTTTAACATATATAAAAAAATAAATCCTGAAATCATTACTTTGATGAAAAAACCCCCCACATATTTCTTGATGTTTTGCAGACTCTCACACCAGAATTCTGAGCAAACAAATTAATATATCCACTCAGTCATATAATGTGCGCTATTACACTTTGATTATACTGAGGGACACAATTGTTAAATTTGTCTAACCCAATACATTCTTCCGTCTCCATTATCTCTCATGACATGAGATTTTTTCACATTTAGTCCCATGAAAACAAAAATCCCAAATATATTTTAATGATTATTTTTGGTGCACAAATTAGTGTGTAACTGTGAAGTTGAAGCCAGAGAGAAGCAGAGTTTTGTAATTGTGGAATTCTTCTTCAGTCTTTCACAAACACAAGACAACAGTTACACCTTTTCAAACTCTTAAGTATAAGTAGACAAATTGTATTGTTTCAGTCACACCCAGTTTAGTCTTTGAAGCACACCCAAACAACTTTTAAAACAAGGCTTAAAGTTTTTCTCTTTGATAAAGCTTACAGTTAAAATAGCTGTGTTTGCCTTTTGAAATCAATATATTTCTATCAAGTAAGAATTACAAACTGGTCTGCAAAAAAAAAAAAAAATGTTAGAAAAAAATTTTGTGTGGAAAAAAAAAATCAATGGATTAAAACCAAAACAAATATTCTTACAGATCCTGGAATACAAATTCCCATGCAGCAAACTCGGGAAGGATGGTTTAACAACAACAAAATGATAAATAATTAAACAGACTGCTACAGAAATACTTCTTATTCTCCGAGGGAGTGAGTTGCTCAATGTTTCTTGCATGAAGAATAATGCCCCAAATGCATGGGATTTCTGACAAGATTCCTAAGGTTACAGAACTCCATTGTCATGAGCAAGAGTCACAATATAAAGGACACTGCAAAAGCCTCCAGCAATTTAAAACCAGTTTTCGTCAAGTATAAGGGAACAGCGTTTCATAATCTGGCCTTGGCATGGTTGTGTTTTGCAACAAGACATAATAACTTGGGTAATGGAACAATGTGTAACTTAAACTTTAACACAATCTCACAATTATTAAGATGCTCTAAATCACTGTAGAATCAAATCAAATGACCTAGATCTGCTTTTGATTTTAGCGATACCATAACAATTTTCTACAAACAGGTTAAGGTAAAAACTCCAATTCTCCATAGACAAAACATATCTCATTGATTTTTTTTTTTTTTCCATATTGCCTCTGGGATATCTGATACCACCCACCCACCCACGCACACACACACACTCACAATCTGCACAATAAAACATTCATCTCTGTTGTTTTGCAAGAAAAAAAAACAACAAAGAACTAGAAAATTCCTGAAGAAATTTAACCCGGGCCTGCCAAAGTGTGCCCGTCGGTTTGGACCCAGCGTTCTGATGCTAAACATTAGCATCCATGCTAAAGAAAGCATGACTTACTGCATTCAGTATACTAAACATGGGTAATAAGTACCCATGTTTATTGGGTACTTATTACCCACAGAGCTCTAAACTGAGTGAAAAAGATCATGCAGGATAATCTTATTGCACCACTAGTGGGGAACAGTGAAATGCTAATGTTCGTGCTAATGTTAATGCTTGAGAGGAAAAGATAATGCAAGCTAAGACATTCTATTAGGTGAAGAACAATAGGTGCCTGCCGTGCAATGCATGGAGGCAGTGATAGTCACTTGCGAAGGTTATTTTAATTTAGAGGCTGACTAGTCTGAAGTCTGGTTTGTCTGAAGCAGTGGTCAGATTCGACCAGCAGGGGGAATCTGAGTGACGTCACTGCTCTCCTTATGCACTGCTAAGGGCAGGCCCCAAAAAGAGCCATTTAGCTCAAGTACCCTTGCAGCGAAGACCTTCTCATGTAGCTTACAAACGTTGAGACAGCGGTATCTTAGCAACGGCACGTTCAGAAAGCGGTATCTTAGCAACGGCACGTGCAGAAAGCGGTATCTTAGCAACGGCACGTGCAGACAGCGGTATCTTAGCAACGGCACTAACGGCGGAGCTAGCAACGGAATTTATTAACATTCGGAGCGTCGAAAAGAACTAACAGCTTTCTGAAAGTTAAACTCATTTACAATCTACATATTTAGATACTCATACCTGAAGAAGGGGAGTATTTTAAGAAAAGAGCCGGACACCGTGCTTTTGCTCCAAGGAGGAAGTTCTGGTGCTCTTCACTATAGCGAGAGCCTCTAAAATAACCAAATTTCAATCCATCACAGCTGCAAGTAACAAGTATTTTAGTAATTTATTATTCTGACTAAGCATATTAATCTCTCTCTGTCTTAATGAGCCCAAATGATTAAATGCAGGTGAGAGAAAATACCTGAAACATCGATATTACTAACTAGCGATAATAAAGCGGTTTTATTCACGGTAAAATCATCAGCTCTCAGGAAGCAGAGTTTCTCTAAATGAGACCAACTTGGTGAACAATAAGGACACCAGAGCAGGGTTTTCCTACAGTTTATATGTTTCATGGAAATCAATAAACCGCAGTTCATAGTTACCGGGAAAAGGACAAATAGTTTCTTCCTCTTTTGGTCCCAACCAGAGGAAAATGAAGATGCTGCTGCATCCATGAAGACAAACAATAAACAGTGAGAAATGAACCAGCAGCGGGTTGAACCGGAAGCAGTATGAGCTGCACAAACCAGGCGCTGAAATAAAACCTGATGGCTGCAGACGCCGCAGAAATAAATAGATAGTCTGGACGAGACATGCGCAGTAGAGAGGCTGCTGATGCAACGTGACTTGTTACGTCAAGACATAAGACTGTAGTTCGGGCCGCTTTGATGCTTATGACGTGTGGACTGACGTCTTAGCAGGCTCTATAGTTGCTCATTCTTGGTCTCCATCGTCACTTTGCACTTGTTCGTCGTAAAGCTCAGATCTCTTGTTCTAGTTATTTTAGCAGCTGAACTCACCAACAGAGGAATCATGGCCAGCAGTTCTGCACCTGTAGAGACTGTAACCGTGGAAGCCCTGGAGGCCGTGATCGACCGCCTCTTCATCAACATGACCCCAGAGGAGTGGCTGAGACTGGAGGCTGGGAACCCAGCACCCAGCACCAGCTGCACTCTGGGGGACATTTGTGGAGAGATCTTAGAAATATTTACGTCCAACGTTCTGAGAAACCTCCACAAACATCAATTTACTATCGAGTCCTTGGAGGCGGCCGTGGGGAACAAAGTCCCAGAAACCTTTGTTGAAATTATGGGCGTCGGTGGAGAATACTGCTCTGAGCACGCGGAGTATTTAAACCGGCTAATTGTGAAATATCTTTTGCATCAAATCTATCATAGCCTGGACTCAGACTCAGATGATCCTCCAAGGAATCATGCTGACCAGGGACCTCTGAAAGCCGTAGTCAGGTATATGGTTGAGGAATCGATGTCGATCATTAAGGACCTCATGGATAGACTGCATCCACCCAATGAGGAACCCGAGACAGGAACTGTCAACAACCCAGTTCAGCCTGAAGAGCCTGAAGACGGAGAAAAAGAGACGGAGAAGACGAGTGCTGAGCCAAAATCAAGGCTCAAAGTTATGATGGGGAACATCAAGAGCATTTTCAGAAAATTTGCACAGAAACATTCAGCTAAGGTGACTCCACTGAACGCACCACAGACCTGTCCAAAGCAAGAGACGCCAACGCAGAGCGTCCATGTTGAGGACAGGAAAATGTTTCCAGAAGGTTCTGTGGCAGAGAAACAAAACTTTGTTCCACAGATCAAATTAATTAACAATTTTTAGGTGCAGAAAGTGGATCAGAGGCCATCGGTGAACCGGAGGAACGAGAGGACATAAAAATCAGAAAAATGGCCATGTTATGCCTAGTCAGCGATCTGATCCAGAGGACCATCGGGACAGAGTTGTTACCCGACAGAAAACCTTAAAGCCATTGTTGATCATCCCTGTGAAAAACTGTGGATTGAAACAGAACCCAGAATCCTCAGAATGAGCCCAGAATGGTTTGAACGACAAGGCAAGGCCATTTTCAGAAACCTGCTGCAGGAGAACAGGCAGGCCGACAACATCCTGCTCCTCCTCGAGTTGTTAATAGTTAATGTTCAGTAGTTAGTTCTTTTTATAATTGTTAATGGTTAGTTAGTTCTTTTTATAATTGTTAATGGTTAGTTAGGTCTTTTTATAATTGTTAATGTTCAGTAGTTAGTTCTTTTTATAATTGTTAATGGTTAGTTAGGTCTTTTTATAATTGTTAATGTTCAGTAGTTAGTTCTTTTTATAATTGTTAATGGTTAGTTAGGTCTTTTTATAATTGTTAATGTTCAGTAGTTAGTTCTTTTTGTAATTGTTAATGGTTAGTTAGTTCTTTTTATAATTGTTAATGTTCAGTAGTTAGTTCTTTTTATAATTGTTAATGGTTAGTTAGGTCTTTTTATAATTGTTAATGTTCAGTAGTTAGTTCTTTTTATAATTGTTAATGTTCAGTAGTTAGTTCTTTTTATAATTGTTAATGGTTAGTTAGTTCTTTTTATAATTGTTAATGTTCAGTAGTTAGTTCTTTTTATAATTGTTAGTGGTTAGTTAGTTCTTTTTATTATAATTCTCTCACAATAACATTCTAATAACCTCATTATAACGAGATAATTATAATGAGGTTATTGAGATACTATATTGAGATAGTATCTCATAATAACATTATAATGAGAAAATTATTATCTCATTATAATGAGATAACATTATTATGAAATAATGTTCTCATAATAACATTATAATGAGTTGATTATTATCTCAATAATAATCTCATTATCATCTCATTATAATGTTATGAGATACTATCTCATAGTAAATAATGGAATACTCTCAGTATAATGAGATAGTATTCCATTATAATAACATTATTATTATATGTTATAATAATAACATATGAGATATAATCATATGTCATATGATATAATACTATCTCATATATAACACTGAGATAGTATTGTAATATACTGAGATAGTATCTCATAATACTAGAAAATTCCTGAAGAAATTTAACTGGGGCCTGCCAAAGTGTGCCCGTCGGTTTGGACCCAGCGTTCTGATGCTAAACATTAGCATCCATGCTAAAGAAAGCTGCAATGTAATCAATAGCACGTGGATAGTCACAAGCATGACTTAATGCATTCAGTATACTAAACATGGGTAATAAGTAAGGGAAATAGCTTATACCTCATTTAAGGTAAAATGCTAATGCTCTGCCTTGCGCAGAGCATCATGCAGGATAATCTTATTGCACTGCCTATGGCAGTGCACTAGTGGGGAACAGTGAAATTCTAATATTTGTGCTGATGTTAATGAGCACAAACTTGAGAGGAAAAGATAATGCAAGCTAATATCATTACAGCGCCTTCGGCGCTGCATTAGCCACAGACGAATCTTAAGGCTTTTATTTTGAAATTTTCATTAAGCTTGATTTTAAATGGCCAATCTAATCCCATATATAACAATGATTGGGTTAAATCAGACATATAATGGTCAAAATAGCACTTACTTGATGGAAAAATTGTCAAGGCTTTTATTTTGAATTTTTTTTAAGCTTAATTTAAAATTTCCACACAAATTCCATGTGTTACAATGGTTGGTTAAAATGAGTTATAAAAGGCCCAAAACACAAGCAGTTCTAAAGTCCAGCATTTTCCTCAGAGTTCTGCCATAGTTAGAACTACAGTGATGCGTTTTTGTAGTCCTAATCAGCTGCTCGGCCCTGCTGTGTTCCGTTGCTATGGTAATGGATCCTCTGCCAGCTGTTGTGTGTGAGACAGAAAGGTGGAGAAAGAATTCTATCTTTGTGAGAGACCTAGTCAGTTTGACTGAAAAAAGCAGTCCAAACAACTCCTTCCCATTCGGAAACTGTGATATGTATCGGAAAACCGTTTGAAGCGTATGAGAGGGCTATCTTTCGTCTCCAATAGTCCTGCAATTCATATCTGTAGCTCATTCACATTAATAACAGCGACGAGATAAAAATGGTGTGTGCTGAGGTCTGACATTTTTCAGAAATACATGGAAGTGAACCTGGCAGAGCGTGTGGAAATCCTGTCGCATCACTTCGCTCTGAAGCCCCTTGACAGAAAACTGTAAGCCCTAGAAAAATTTCGAAAACATTTTACCGGAGCAGGCATGCGTATCTATGTCATGACCGAGTTTGATACTGATAGGACGATATTTGTGGGCGTGACGACGATTTCAAAATTTATTTGGGGTCAGAATCGCAGTCGCCATCATAACTCCGAATCTCACCAAAAGTAATAGCTCCAATACCGGATCGAGCCGCACTTTTTGATACCACTTTTGTGGGTGGGCACGCAGTGGTATGAGCCGCATTAACGGTAACAGAATAATAATAAATAATATATATAGGAGACATTCTATTAGGTGAAGAACAATAGGTGCCTGCATGCCATGCAATGCATGGAGGTAGTGACTGACTTTGCTGCTCTCCTTATGCATTGCTTTGGGCAGGCACCAATAAAAAAGCTTCCAAAAAAACAGATGATTCTCCTGCTTTATAGCTATACCGGTATATAAAAATATATGGATGGGCATCTCGACAGAAAGTTTATCTGATTAATGCACTCCATCTGCAATTAATGTGAATAGTCATATTTGAGTAGCTTCACTGTTGTGCAATACGTTTTGGGTTTTTTTTCCTTTCACTGAAGAGAGTTAAAATGAAAACTGACATAAACCTTACTTCATGGTTCCTTCCAAATAAATATATAGTTGGACTTTTTTTAAAACTCTACATATGCTACGACAAAAATATCCACAGTAGAAATAACATTTTCTATCGGCCTCATTTTCAACAGAAGAAATAAATACTAACCTTATTTGTTAGAAGCTTCTGAAAACACCACCAACGAACCTCAACCAAAATCTGTGACGGACGACAACAGCACCCTCTTGTGGCCAAATCACAACAATACATTTATATTAACGCCTCTTGTCTGTAGGTCATTCCCACCGTACACACTCATATTACTGCTCTAGGCTAATGCTTCTGGGTTGTTACCGTTAAACAGTGTGTCTTTCGCAGTTTTATCTCTATGAAATATGAAACCTCAATTCATACCGCCTGACCAGGAGGGCCGACTTTTTCGTTCAAAATGGCAAACGCTCGTCCGTGCGGCGCAGGCGCGGTGGCCAAGTGGTAAGGCGTCGGTCTCGTAAACCGAAGATCGCGGGTTCGAACCCCGTCCGTGCCTTTTGTCTGTCAATCTGGTTAAATCCATGTGTCCATAGTATTTCCTAATTGTTGAAACTTTAGGAATATTCAGTGGTAGTAGTATTACTGACACAATGTGAAAGCAACATTACATGTTAGTTTTAATATCATAAAAATCCTCTCATATCAGACTCAACATACTGGTGCAGTGTCCTCCACACCATGATCAGATTCATATCTGATGCAGTTCTATCATATCCAATTCACTAAGGCAACTATTTTTAAAAACATGTAATCACAGCAGCTACTTTGACATGGGTTGCAGCATTTTTCAGAAGACTTATTTATATCTTCAACACATCACAGATAAATTTCTATAAACCACATGCATCGACTGTCTGTTTATTAAAATGCTACACACTTTGATTTTTCTCCAGCTATTGAGCATGTCTTCTGAATGCATTCCTCCCTCACATCTTGAACTACCTATTGAACTACCTATATGTTTACGAAAAATAACTGAAATATTTAGTATTTTAAATTCTGCATGAAGTTACCATAGAGCAGGGGTGGGCACTCCAGGTCCTCGAGGGCCGGTCTCCTGCAACTTTTAGATGTATCTCTACTTCAACACACCTGAGTCAAATAATGAGGTCATTAGCAGGACTCTGGAGAACTTGATTGCATTTAGGAGGTGATTCAGCTATTGGATTCAGGTGTGTTGGATCAGAGAGACAACCAAGAGTTGCAGGACACCGGCCCTCAAGGACCAGGAGTGCCCACCCCTGCCATAGAGAGACACACAGCAAAATAACCCCTACCTCCTATTTCAGGAATAAGTGACAAACACATAAGGGCAACAAATGCAGAACAATTTTTGAGAGTATCCTATTACTTAACCTTGATTGTATATATTGTTCTTATTTTTGGTTTAGAAATCCCTGCTGATTTTCAAACTCAAACATCTGCTGTCTCTGAGATGCCAGTTAATTAGTCTTTTGAAAAAGCAAATAGAAACAGTAGTTAAAATGCACATTACACTACATTACACTTTATCTTAAAACATAAACTAGAAAAAAATTTATGTTATAATTGGATAATTTAATATTTACATAACCAAAGACAAGAAAACAAAAGGAACTTCATATAACTTTATTTTTGTACTTTACAACTTTGACTTTCTTGTACGGCGAAGGTTCAAAACAACTGAACAAGTGTTTGTAGGCTTTGACCCAGACATTCAACTTTCAGCTCTTAGCTGGATACATTACATGAACTGCATCTCTCATTTCGATTGAAGCTTAAGGACAGAGCACTATTTTAACAAAGAAGCTGTGTTTTCCTGACTTTATAAGAACAGGGCTCTGAGTAACATCTGGGCAGATTTAGATTACATTCCATGTACATGGAAAGAACATACATAGGAAAGAGGACTAAAAGGCTTTGACTCAAGAGTGAGAACAGTCTTCTCTTTAAAAACTAAACGAATATAAAAAATATTTCAGAAATGGTCAAACTTTTGCTCAGGTGTTTCCACAGTTTGTTTGTGGATTTGGCACCATCTAGTGCTGAAGATGTAGATTTCATGCACAAGAAATTAGTTGATAATTTTTCATGGAAGTTGAAATATCTCCAGCCTCTACTGCGGAGAAGGACTGCATGGAAGGAAGTTTTTGTGAACTTCTGAGACGAACAAAGTAAACTGTGAAAACCCGACATTCACCTGATTATTTTACAGCCTGGACAGGAAATTAGGTAATTTGACAGCTATTCACTTAGTCACTGGAAAGCTATTGCTCAACAAACTGTAACTATGTTGTGAACACTCCTTTAGACAGTAACACATAACTGCTGATGATTATCTCACTGCAGACTTAAAGGAGCTCAGACTGTTAGCTTAGTAAATTTCACCCTGCTTTTTTAGGCTTCATTGAAAGATATGACAGAGAATGTAAGGAAGGAGTGGACGCCTCTTCCACATATAAAAGTAGCTTTGTGGGAAGTGGTGACCTGAACTGTAACACTTGGTCTTAGAGCTAATTGAAAAAGTTTAGTCTTTTGACTAAGGGAAAGGCTTATTTCACCAGTTTTGAGTGGTAACTAGTTACATTTATTCAATTACATTTACTTGAGTAACTTTTGAATGCTTTTTGTTTTTACTTGAGTAATTTTATTATGAAGTATCACTTCTCTTGAGTAAATGTCAGGATTCTCTAACCACAGAATGAAAAAAAAAAATGTTTTAACCAAATATTCACCAGACACACACCTGCTGTTTTTATTAAAGTTTCAAAAGTTTTCTATTGAAAGATACTGATTTGGAAAAATTTTATTTTGCTTAATTTTGTTATATTTTGATATTTACACGAACTATTGTCATCCTTGTCCTTAAAATACCAAAATTTCGATTTAGCTTTATATTTTGATTGTGATTTTTAAATGTTAAATGATTAATAATTTAATCAGTTACTCAGTACATGAGTAGACTTTTTACCAAATACTTTTTTACTCTTACTTGAGTAGTTTCTTGGACGACTATTTTTTACTTTTACTTGAGTAAAAATATATTGAAGTAATGCTGAGTAAACTCTTGTACAACTTTTGGATAGTCTGCCACCTCTGCATTTACATGTATATAATTTTCTGCTTTAGTTAAACCCACACTCTTACACACTTACTTAACAAGTACCACCATGTCTCATAAAAATGATGACTATGAAAATATGATAATTTAGTCAGTTTTGGCTGTATTTATAACGCTATTTCACAAATAGGCACTCAAAATGAAGATGGTTACATTGCGTCAGTACATGTTGCATGTTGGGTGATCGTGGCCGCACAGAAAATCCGGCCATAGTGCGTACTTCTGGATGAAAGGTGCTTTTCTCAAACACTTGGCTGCCTCTCTGTCACACTTACATAAAAACTCCTCACATTTGTCCTCTAAATTCTCTGAAATGAAAAAGATAAGAAATTTATTGTCATTAAAAAGATTTGCAAACCAAATCTTTGACCAATTTTGGGTCACAAAAATTATATTAAAAATTAATATTAGCTATGTGCTACCTGAACAGTTCTGTTGCCCTTTCATATAACCAACCGCATACTGAAAAAAATGTATGCTTTCTTCAATGATTTAAAAATATATACATACCGCACTCAGCTTCCCTGTCCTCGCAGGTCCAGTGATATTTGGCAGTTTTGGTGTAGCAGCCAAGACGTTCTGCATCTCCGTAACAGCAGTCATGCTTGTGGCAACACCTATAGCCGCAACAGATTGAATGCATTAGTTTCAAGCTCCATCTGGAGTGAACTGAGCAGCAGTATAGATGGGTGGCAAAGCGACACCACAGCTATTTTAAAAGCAGTCCAGGATCACCACTTTGCTTTTTCACTGCTCTTACTTGGCAGTCAGACAGTTTTTAATGGGCGAGATGTCTAGTGGTGAAGATAGAAAACAAAGAGACAGTAATTAGGATTTGGGTGTGGAGTTTTAGGCCTAATTTAAAGTCCCCGTTTGACTAGGCTAGTGTTGTGAAAAAGGTCAACATTCATTTGTTCCAATCCCCTGGTAGTACTTGTGGTTTAGTGGAGAAAGACGGATTCGGAAACTGGTCACACCTATTTTGGAACATACCATGCCTGCGCTGAAGAGTGAAAACACAGTGATGCGTGCTGAATTATAAGCTTCGTAGCCTATAATGCATGCATAGACCTGTCTGATTGTTTGAATTTTGGTAAATGCTGTCGTCAGGTGCAGAAGCGTACTATTATGTGAAAAAGTTTAAAGATAAGGTTTTGCCTCACCAGTCTGCTCTGTCACGGGGCCACCCCTCACCCCCCAACCCACAGTAGCATCCATACATCATGTAAGCCAAAGCAGATCTCCCAGTGCTGCATTTGATGGCTCCTGCAAGCTCAAGTAACCCTCTTTTCGTCCGGTGGGAACTGTGTGCGGCCACAGGAGCCACAGCCACTGCAAAAAAGAATAAACAACTGAAGAGGAGGAACAAACTTCTCTATTCCTGAGAATCAAACCATGTAGTCCTGTCTGAAACAAAAACCTTTTTATGCATAGCTGATGAGTAAAATCTTAACATTTCTGATTCACACTTAGAATCAAACTTGCTTCACATAAAACTCTTTTGCTGAGGTTAGATGTAAAATCATTCAATTCTTTTAGTTTATTCTTTACATGTTAATAAACATTTTAATCAGTGCATTGCTACTGTAATATCCACAGAGACTCTTCTTATTAGTAACTAGGACACACAGGACAAACTTCATTCTTATGTCTAATAAACAAGAGATTAGACTGATATGCTGTATAACCTAGAAAAATACCAAAGCTCACCAGCTCTTCCTCTCTTCCACAAACTTAATTTGATTTCCAACACTCACTTTACAAAAATTTCGCAATATCTAGTCTAGCTTCATCTGTAGTCTTTAAATCACACTTCCAGTTGTCTTTTGCACAAGATGTGAAACTTCAAATGAAACAGCTTACCAGAGAGCAGGAGAAGTATTTGGTAAAATGTCATTACTATGTGCAAGAGGAACCCTCAGCCAGGGTTCCAGGGCTACCACCGTCTGAGTGCAGAGTGAAGGGGAAGGCTTTTTTTAGAGGCTGCTGGAATAATCTCGTGAGCATCATCATTGGACAGGGCCTAATCCAATGTTTGTGACACTAGGCTCCCCCTGCAGGAGAGGGATTGTTGTCTAGATTTGTATATCTCTTTTAGGTGTGAATTTTGCATTTTAGAAAACAAGACCATTGGAAATATTTTTTACTTTTTAAAAATGTTTTGTATACTGAAGTATGTTGTGGTTTGCCTTTACTGAATCACTATCGAGGAAGATAAATCACATAGTCTACAAAAAGTCAATTAATTATTAACCAAAAAAGCTTTGTTTTACTTCTGCTAAAACATTTCTAGTACAGAACTAACCTGTTAAAAGTTTGACACAGGAACTGTTTATTTTATTTTTTATTTATTTATTTTATTTTGAACATGATGCAATTATAAAATCACACACATGAACTAGGAATGCAAAGGACATATTTGTGTACTACAATAATCTTAACATGCTCCAAAAGTATGTCGGGAAACATGTAGTTTTTACAGATTTTAAAAGTTGAACTGTTAAATGGATGCTGATAATGAAAAAATAATGAAATATGTTCAGAAATCTCCAGCAATGTAAGTAAAAATATTTGAAGGCAAACAACGTAATTCAATTCAAGTTAGGTCAAAGAGGCAACCCAATGAAGATATCAAAAAAGTAAGTGCTTTGCCAAATGTTTAAAATCCTTTTTAGATGAGACTTTACAGTTTTATTTCATCTAGAATTTCTAATTGAGTCTGCATCAGTTTAATTTAATTTGCATGGTGTTTAATTGCAAAGAAAAAAAAACAGCAAAACCTCCAGATATAAATCTCAAAACAAGAAAAGACAACATACACATTTTGATAAATATTCTTCATTTTTACATCATTTTTTATCTGATTAATTTAGTACAAACAGTCAGGAGGACAGATTACAGGTAGAGAGCGAGAGTAGAATAACTATGTTCATTTAGGGTCTGGTTTTATCATTGTGTACAATTGTTTTAACTGAGCCACAGCAAAGTAGAAATGCTAAAGGATGATTATACTCATAAAGTAACCCAGACAGCACTAAGTTTGTATGAAATATGTCCACTTTCATTATATCAATAATTCTATCAATGTCTCATTGTATTATTCTGCTAATGAGAACTAGAAAGTTTTACAAGAGGTTCACTATATCACACAAAATACATAAAAGCAGAGTAATTATGATCCAATTCTATTTATTTTTCTTGTGTCATCTATATTTTTATTTTCCTGTAGAATAAGTCATTGTGGTGAATTCAGTGGTCATTTCCTCGATAAACAAACATCACTCTTACTGAGCAATGCACTCCAGCTGTTAAATGGATGCTGATAATGAAAAAATAATGAAATATGTTCAGAAATCTCCAGCAATGTAAGTAAAAATATTTGAAGGCAAACAACCTAATTCAATTCAAGTTAACTAAACAGACTGGGACACAACTGGAGAAGTATTTTTGTTTGTTCTTTTAGTCATATGTTCTTTAAAAAGCCTATAAAAATAAAACATTCTGACAATTCCGCTTGTGATAACAGGGCCTAAAAAGCACTTTTTTTTCATCTTCATCTATGTACATGTATTAATGGTACACTTTATGTAGAATGAGTGTTCCCTGCTTGTAAGTCAAGAATTGCATTTTTCCTTGTAAATCTCTGGACTTTTTTTGAAATCCTTATCTACTATTTTGAGAAAGTTATCGAAATACTTTATTTTTGATTTGTTTAAATAATTAAATGTGATCTTTCAGTCTGACTCATGTCTGAAGAATTAGAAGTCTGGAAAGTTTCATTCAGAAAAGTCATTTGACTCTGAGCTGTATGAATCACTCAAATGAAAATAAACAAATGGACAATTAAAACTGTACTAAGAACAGATCTGAACATTCCTGAGTTGTTAGTTAAAAGTAAAAACTATAAAATACAAAAAAATAAAATACAAATAATTGCTAAAACCCTATTGTTTCTCTCAAGATTTTCTAAGAATTACTGACAAATAATCAATCCTGTTATTCTTCTATTATTTCAGAGGTAGATCCTTAATAGCCTAACTTGGTAAGTGACATGTAGCATGAAGAAAAGGTACGTTTATGATCCAGTGCTGCGTTTTTCCTGTCTCAAACGGTCATGCCTAATAATGGCCAGTGGGGGCAACAACATGAAAACGTCAATGATTAAAGAAGAAGAAGAAGAAGAAGAAGAAGAAGAAGCAAAGAGCGGCCTTCAGCGACATCTCCGGCTAAGTTCTTTTAGCTAAAACGAAGATTTCCTTTCCCTCTTGTTATATACAGACTGAAAGGTTGTTTAGAAAAAAGACTCATTCATGTAAGTATCTAAAACAGACAGTATTCAGAACTGTCTGTGTTATATTCTTCGTCTAAGCTTGGGACTAAACATCTACAGCTCGCCATTGTTTGCGTTGAAGAACTAGTTTAACTTGGAAATACCAATGCTTTGTTTGGTTCAGACTTCCTCCTTTAAACTTATACAGTAGTGTCATCTTATTAATTAATGACTGTGCGTTTGTGGTTTCTTGTAAGAAAAAAATTTTTTTTACTAAGTTTGAATTATTTTGTGACTAATAAACGGTAACATTTGCTAGCTGGAGTCAACGGTGGCTAACGAGAAGTCTCGTCGACGGTGTCGAGCCGCGGGTAACACACGTGCGCTAAAAGACATGCGTCCATTATCGGACAGCGGGCAACACTGAAGTTTTAGAACTAAAAATTTCCTCCGTAACCTTCCTGTATTCCGTGTGTAGACCTATTATTTAACGAAAGAAACTTTAATCTGCTGAAATATAAACCGATTTTGAATCCCATGCGTGATACGGGGCTGTACGAATAACACATCAACTCCAGAACCTACAGTGTATAATGCTCTGTAGGATACAGTGTATCCTATAGAGCGTATATAGTAGATATATGAAACAAATTACATGAAAGTTTGAAACACCGATTGAAATCGTAATAGGTGTTAATGATTTACTGCTGGTAGAAATGACACATTGGTTGTTTTGTTTAGTCTTACAGCTTAATTCCTTTTTTGAACCTCAGTCATACACTGTGTAGCCATTCCACCCCTGACGATGTATAAATGTACTAATAATTTGTATTGAACTGTGACTTTATTTCCGTGAAGAGACATTGGACGCAAACTCAGACTGCGCGGTTAAAGCCTGTCGAATCGTTGTCCGATAATAGACAGATGTCTTACAGATGCTAAAGTTTGAACATTTCCGGCAGGCCTGTGACCTAACTTGTCCACACCCTCAACTATGTAATTATAACTTGTATTTTTTATTTGAAATGGCGACCAAACCGTTTGTACGGTTGTTTAAGGTCTCATTCTTAAAAATAACCCACTTAACTCATATTTCCGGGACTGCGTGTGTGTCGTCATTTTCAAACTAGGAAGTGAACCTGGGAGAAGGCATTCCAAGTAAAGCTTAGACATTTTGACTCTTATTAGTCGAACTCCTCTAACAGGGCTATAGAAACATGAGCTGATATAGGAAAAATGGGCAGGTCGAATAATTAAAATTTATTTAATGTGTGTATGTTATTTAAAATGCTATGTCAAATTTTTGTAATTCCAGGTGCTATTTGAGATAATAAACACGCAACTATGTCTGGAGCGTGTCGGGACAGAAGTCGTCGCTGGCAGGAAATTCAGAAAGGCCTTCAGTTCATTCAGTAAGTGTATTTTACAGATCATCAGTTGTTTAATAGAGTACAACAAAAGAGAACAAAAACAAATTTTTATGATAAATATTTAGTTTCCTACATCAGTGCATCTCCTAAGGTTGAGGAAAAAGTAAAACTTTAACTTGTTTTAGCACTTCACATATGCACAGATACCCTTTATTTAAAGGGTATCTGACCTACCACTTTCACTCAGCTTAAATTTTAAATCAGACTGCTTTCACTTCTTTTGGAAAATAAAGTTCAGGGTGTGTGTGTTTTTTTTTCCTACTTGGAAATTTGCATTTAACTTGCTGTGTACATTTAAATATGCTACCAATTTTAATAATGGAACCTAGTATATTAGGGTTATGCTAGGTTATTAGCCTCTTAAAGTCTCTAAGCACTGAACATTTATAAATATGACGTGATAAAGAATATTTTTTGCAACTAGTTTAAATCCAAATTCCCAGACCAAAAAAACTACCAGTGAAGTATTGACACATCAGCGTGTTGATTTGAACTCGGGTGTCTGCTCCTGTCAGATGCCTGCTGTTTGTTGTAATAAAATGCTGGGGTTTAGACTGTAAGTATGAGTTGTCTATACATCCATCACAAGATAGATGAGAGAGAGAAATGAGCCATATCACTGCTCTTGCTGAAGAAATAGTGCAAATATGGTTGTTAGAAACTAGCATTTAAGTAACATAATCTTGGCCAAAAACATGTTATAAACATTTAATTAAGCAAGCAGAAATCTCAGCTTGTGAAAATTAATATTGGTGTGTTGCATCACACCAATGAATTTTTCTCTGTCAGTATGTCAGTCAGGCTAATGGCTGTTTTGGTGGGTCTTTTTTTAGACCAGAATATTTATTTTTATGTCTGATTGTAAATGAATTCAACTTGAATATAATAATAGTAATTGGCTCTATTTGCCAGATTTATTCAAATAAAAAGGAATAGAGTGGTTCCACTCTTGTTTTTAAAGTACAGATATTTTTAAAAATAGACACACAGTTTGAAGGAAACAGAAAAGTTTTATTTATTTACTTTTTATTAAGAAATGTGTACAATATTACAAAGGCAAAAAATTAAGACAAGGTTGAACTGGTCCAATATGCATAGTGAGGATTCCCAGCAGAGTAGCTGGGCACTCTTAAGCGTTCATCAAAGAGCCTGAGGGAACAAACTGTTTCTGTTTGTTTATTCTGAAAGTGCTCTGTAGTGCCGACCCAAAGGAAAAAGTCTTAACTACTTGTACCTGGGATGTTTGGGGTCAGTTGACATTTTCCTTACACAAAGATCTGTATAACTCCTTGATGGAGTGAAGATAAGCCCCGACTATTCTCTCTGCTGATCTGGCTGCTCTCTGCAGCTTGT